AAAAAAAAAAAAAAAATTGGTGCTAGTACATGGTTTGCTACAGAGAAATTGATCCATGGGTTATGCGTTTATTTGCCCCAATGCCCCCCCCCCCTCTCTCTCTCAATTTTTTTTTTAAGTTTCTTTGATTGGTTGTTTATATGAACTTATTTATCGGGGAAAGGTGTTATTGAGCTTGTTATGACCATTATTTGATAGACTTGTATAAATTTTCCCCTTATGCAGCAAAAACATGGTGGTGAACAGTCTGCACTTTCATCCCTGACGCTTCATTATGCGAATGAGAAAAGTGGGTCTGAAGATGAAATGGGGTCATACTGTTTGTCAGATGCTGGTTTGACTGCTCTGGGTGAAGGCTTTACAAAACTTGTAAGTTGAGCCTTATCTGGTGCTCTAATGTGACAAGTGCAGGCTTAAAATCTATAGCTGAGAAGTGTAGTTCCTTGAGATCTTTGGATTTGCAGGTGAACATCTAGCTGTAAAACTTTAGGTGTCCCACTTGTTGATTTACACAACCTGTTTCTCAAACATCTTAATATATTTGAGCACTCCTCCAGTATTTTGATGTGTGCATGTACTAGTCCTTTTAACTTATTTAGAGCTGGTTTTTTTTTTTATGTACCATTGGTTCCTCAACTGATGCACAAGCTATTCCATCTGTTCATTTACAGAGGTTTCATTAACAATTCTGTCTAGGCGGCATCTAGACACTGTGATATCTTGACAATCTGCTAATCCAGAAATTGGCTTGGGTTTTCCTTCTCAATTCTCATATGCATTTGCATTTCTTGCCTACACCGCCATCTAAAATCACACTCCACTTCCAGAAGTAAGAAATTCTTTATTAGCTTCACACTACATGTTAACAGAAGAAAGGCCAAGGGAGGAATGCCCAGGACTGTCTAAGAAACCTAGTACTTCACCCTACAAGTCTGGCAATTAGAGCTTTATTAAATTGGTCTCTGCTACACCATGATTGATGCCTTAGACCACCCTAAATGAATGATGTGTTGGCGGCTGAGAACAAATGGGTACAGGTGGGGGCTTTGCATGGATTTGTGGTTGTTCTTTTCTTCCAAGACTTTTGGAGTACAAAATATTTGGGTTTGACACAATTCTCCATGCTGTGAGACTGCCATAACATGATCAAACTTGGATCAAACTATCCTTGGGGTTAAAAAAATAACTTTGAGTGAGCTTCTGAACCTGATGGTAGCACAAATTGCTCTGTTTTGAAAGGGTTTATAAGGCTTAGGGTGAGATACTTGGGGTGTGCCCCAAGGGGTACCCAAGTGTTTTAGAGGGAGAGGTTATGGGCAAAATGGGCTAGACCCATTAGACCCAAAAATCACCACACGCGCGCGCGCCGCCGCCGTCCGTCCGTCCGGTCTCACCCTAAGCCTTATAAACCCTTTCAAAACCTCCCACCAAATCAATGTGGGACAAGCCAATTTACAACCTTAAGGAATTTCCACCAAAACTCCATTTTCATGGTGCACACTTTGGCTTCAATTTCCCATTCACTCGGTAATGGTTTTGAGCAACCAAATATACCACGTGAATCACAACGCGGCATAGAACGCGTTACCACTTTGACCCGAGTAAATCGACACTCGGGGCCCACCTAAAAAATAGACCAAACTTGAGAAAAAATTCTAGTTTTACCCAGAATTTTTCTACCATTTCCAACAAACTGTACTTCTATCCTTTTCATATTGAGAGTATTATAAATTCATCTTATTGGCCTGCAGTACTATTGTCTGTTTTAAAGTTTTTTTTTTATAAATCTTTGTTCCTACTATATAGTAAAGGGATATTTAGAATGATCTAAATAAGTTTATTTTTTTTATTATTTTTTTTAAAAACATAAAATATGAGTTGAATTTGAAGTAATGTGATAAAAAATGTGATATAACACAAATAAGATAATTGTGACCCAATAATATGTTATTTTATCACATGCCAAACACCCCATAAATAAATTGTTTATCAGTAGATTGTCTTATGTTATTTAACTTATTATTTTAAATACTCTGATAAATAAAAAGATAAATTATAAAATATTGGCTAAGGTTTGTTTAAAACATGATGTGTTCTCAATGGTTCTAAAAATTATAAATATTTTCTCATCAGAATTTGTCATTTGACAGACTTACCCAAAAAAAAAAAAAAAAATCCTAATTACTATCCTATACAATAATAAAATTATCAAAATTATTAATTGAAATATATTTATGATATCATTAAAAATTATTAATTAACTTATTAGTTAATTAATGAAAAAATCATTTGTTTTACAATTAAAAATTTAACAGAATAGGATATAATTTTCAAAATAACAAATCACAATTAATATTGCAAATGAATGAAAATATTAAAAATAGAGATATCAAATTCAAAAAGAATCGTAACAATGATTATGGAGGTGATGGGTTGTGGTAGCAGTTGTTGTGGCAGTGGTAATAATAATGACGATTATTACTTACCTAAAAACAATAGCAATTATGGTGGGGCAGTGACATGATGGCGGTATTTGTGATAACAATGACAATGGTGATAAAAATGGTAGTCATGAAAGGATGGTAGATGTTGGCGGTGCTAGTGGTGATAGACGTGGTAGAGACAGAAGAGGTGATGGTGGTGATTGTGAGATTATAATAGTGATTAATACTTACGTATAAGTATTTACAAATTTAATCAAAATTAAGTAAGTTTCATATCATTTAAAAATTTCTTAATTTTTACCTTATATTTTAAGAATCATTTAAATTTGTAAGAGATACAATTTGTGATTATCAAATGGATTTAATTGATTTTTATTTAATACATTGTGTTTTAAATGCTAAATTAAGTTATCAAAAACCAACCAACTGAGATGCTGGTTGATAAAATTGAAAATTAAAAAATAAAAATTAAGTAAAAAGTTATTTAATAAAAACATAATAAAAACACAAGTTATTTGATATATATGATATTAAATTTAAAATTTATTATTTTAGAATTATATTTTCTAATTTTAGTAAATTAACTGATACAATTTTTGAGATTTTGAGTATTGTAATTTGTATAATCGGTGAAAAAGCTATTTAATATTCATGGAGCGTAATGTGTTCATACACAAATACTAATAATCATACATTATGTCTTCTCATATTTCTTAATCATTTAATACAAGATTATAAATCTTACTTTTTTTTTTTTTCATCAATCACAATATTTTTAAGGCCAAGTTTGGCAAGTTAAAAAAAGCTAAAAAGCTAAAAAGTTTACTCAAAAAGTTAAAAAGTTATCACTATTCATCAAAAGTCAAAAATTACGGCTGCATAACTCCTAATCATAATTTTTCCTTACACACTAATTTATACAATTTCTTAATACATATTTTTCTATAAAAAGTCAAAAAATTAACCCAAACAACCATATTTTTTTTCTTAACTTTTTAATCCAAAAAATCAAAAAGTAAGCTAATTTAAGATATCCCAAACAACCCAAAATATCAAAAATCTCTGCTTAAAAATCATTCAAATGGATGAGGTCTATAATTTTAAAATAACAATCTTATAATATATATTAATAAAATATTTTTTCTTTGAAGGGATGGTGTAATTTCCGCCTAATCAAATGCGAGTCAAGAGCCTCTCCTTGCATGTTCCTCCTCGCGCTAGTTCTTGTAGGGCCTTCGGGTCTACTTTTAGGCCCAATTTTGATAATCCGAATCGTTCATATTTTATGATTTATTTAGTATATTATACCTGTAAAAAATGTGTTTGAAAAATTGAACTAAAAACTATTTTTTTAAAGAATTTAATAAACAGTTTTCCGAACATATGCTTTTTGATATACGATCAACTTGATTTTTTACAAGTATGATATACTAAATAAATAATAAAATATGAACAATTCGAATTATCAAAATTAAGCCTAAAAGTAGGCCCGAAGACTCTGCAAGGACGGGCACAAGTAGAAACTTGCAAGGAGAGGATCCTCGTACAATCAAATGCAACCCTTCTCGTGCTCAAAAACATAAAATAAAAAATACAATCCCTCTCTCTTTCTCTCGGCGGCAAGAGAGACAGACATGGCGAGCATGCCTATAACCTTACCATCGTCCTCTTCTGTGCTCGGTTCCAGAACACTCGAACTCCCAACGGTCGTCTCAGCTCAATTTTGCATAAGGCAAGACCTCCTCGTTCTTTGTTTCTCTCCTCCGCCTTTTTTGTTTTTTCAATTCGAACTTTTTTTTCTTCTAAAATTGTTTGACTGAACGACTTTGAAATCTAGAGGAAAGCAATCCTCACGCTTTGTCTTCAATTGTTTGATTCAACTAAGTTCTTTTTTGCGTACTTTGAATTTCAGGTGTAATCGAGCACTCAAAGTCTCCTGCAATCACTCGTGCTTCGAAGTAAGTTCCTTCTCATTTTTGTTTTAATCTCTTCAATTATTCTTACCTATCTGACTTTGGTATACATTCTTGATTCGCATTCATATATAGTTAAGTTTAAGATGGATCTTTGTGAATTTCAGTTTTGTTACTTGAAATAGGAGTCTATTTGTGGGAAGTTTCAAAGCAACCAACCGATTTGACTAAATTCCTAAATCATTCAACCAAAGGGCTTGTATGATATATATATATATATATATATATTATATGTGTGTGTGTGAAGAATTTCTGAAGAAATTTCAATTTCTTCATTTATATTGGAACATATGCCTGTGAGGGCGTCTTTCTTCTGGTTATTTCATCAAAAAATATTTTTTTTGCTGGATTGTTAACCAAATTCCTGGTTATGCAAATTGGTGGAAACTTAGTATATAGTTTAGGTCCCATTTGGCAAGAGGTTTTTTTGGCTAAAAAAGCCAACAAATTCAAGCCCACTAGCAAAACATTATATCATATACATCAATCAATCACTTTTTCCCTCACAACTATCTATTCAACTAGGAAAAACCATTCATAAACACATTGAACTTTTTCAGCTCATAAAAAAGTCAAAAGACCAAAAAGCCACTAAAAAATCCAAATTGCCAAACTGGCAATTAATGTCATATTAAACTTTTCTTTCATTTGGCTGAATCCTCATGGATGAATAATATAATAGCACCTTACATGTATGCCGAAGTGTGATTGCTGACATGCCACATTCACTTATATGCCTTGGCTCTCCTACAACTCAGATATGGGATGCATTAAATTCTTACATCAAGCACATGTATATTAACTTTGTAATTTTGTGCTTTCTGCTAAGTATACTTGGCTTTCTAGTTATATTTTTGCAAATAAAAGTGAAATTGTTGTCCTGAAATATTATTGTTGTTTTCTTTAAGGTAAGGGATGTTAGCTATCGGCCTCCGGGGACCCAAATCAACCTTTTGAATGAAGTTAACATTTGCCTTCCTGAAAAAAGGTATTTTTGTTTGTAGTCTCTTGCTTAAATGGACCTCATGTATAATTGTGCTAACAACCAACCCTCCTTAATATGTTCTTAATTAGAGCTTAAATTACTTCTGAGAACTGCTTTGCATTCATGGGATTGTTTGTTGTTTTGTCTTGCTGTAGTTTTGGCTTGATTTTTGGACGGAGTGGAAGCGGAAAAACTACACTCTTGCAGGTCTATATTTTGATTTTAGGTTATCATTTGTTGTGGACCTCTTTAATTCATTTCAATTTTGTCCCCTTGTTTTACTTTATCTTGCATTTTATTTGCATATATTTTATTTTCCTCACAGCTTATTGCAGGGTTGACCAAACCAACATCAGGCTCCATTTATATTCAAAGATATGATAACGATGGCAAACCAAATCAATCTCCTGAACAATTAACTCCAGAAAGAGTTGGTATTGTTTTTCAGTTTCCTGAGAGGTATTGCTTCAAATTGGAAAATTGAAGAGGCTTTCTATTTATTTATTTTTTCTTATGAGTTGCTATCTATCATACAGGCTTATGCATCACTTGCACGTTGGTAAGTTAAAGTTACCTCACATCAACTAGTTTGTAGTAACTTCATTTTCTAATCTTTTATGATTTTTAATGATTATTTTCCACAACCACAGTACCAAATTGATCTTTTTAGATCTTTTGTCCTTTTAATTAGTGCCTCTTAATTATTTATTCTTTATATCCTTGATGATAGAGTGATCATGGGAATATATGTTGTGTTCTTGTCTCTCTGTTTTCATGCCTGTTCACCAACAGTGTATTACTTTTCTCCCACTCATCTAGTTTTTTATTGAGATTGTCAAATGCAAAGTAATTTACCTACCATTTTACCTTGACTATTGTGGTAGTTGGACTTCACTCTTCTTTTGCTTAAGGGAACTTTAATTTTGCATATTCTCATATAGGTGTCTTTTTTTGTTGTAAGAATGGTTGTTAGAATCGTGTGATTCATGATTTGATTCATATGATTTGATATGAGTGTCAACCAAAATGATTTGAATTGTGTTGTCAAATTGGAAATTGAGTGAATCGTGCAATTCAATTTGCGATTCCTTACATTTCACTGTGATTCAATTATGTTTCAGTTTTGTTTGCATACTTCATGAAACACCGTTGTTTTCGATTATATGTGGTTTAATCATATTGATATTTATTTTATTTTAAACACTAAGTGTGCGTTTTTATATGTATTTACAAGGATGCCTGCATAAAATCATATATTATATTAATAAAATGAATGTGACAATTCACTATTTTAGCAAAAACGATTGACAATTTTATTCGTGATGCCTTTACTTTTTGAATGTTGGCTCTTCTTTTGCTTTATGCAGGTTTAATTTTGCATATTCCGACATAATAACTTTTTTTTTGGGTTTCATTTGCATGATTAAAAGGCTGCACTTTTTGTTTTGTTTTACTTATTTGTGTGGGCCTATGGGGAAAACATTTTTTTTCCCCTCTGAAGTGCCTAACATGATATGTTGTGGGCTAGGTATTTCATAACCGACAATGTTCTTGATGAAGTCACATTTGGATGGCCAAGGCAGAGAGGTGACCTTCAATTGAAAGAGCTTCTTGCTGCAAGACTCCAAAGAGCTATTATTTCGGTAATTATACTCCCCTCAGATTAGAGAATATTTTTTTGATGCTACTCCTTTACTTTATGGATTTGTTTTCTTGATTTCTATGTATTAGTTGTCGCGTCTTTGCCAAATTTAACACCATATCTTAAGTAAATTAATCTGTTAGGTTGGTCTGCATGGAATCCCCTTGGATAAAGATCCTCACTCCTTAAGTGGTGGCTACAAAAGGCGGCTGGCCCTAGCAACTCAATTAGTAAATCTCTCCCCCAGTGGTTTTATGTGAATGCGAAAATGTTCTACACACATGCATGCATAAGATTTAAAATGACTGCTTGAGAATTGTTGACTTTATGCAGGTACAGATTCCCAATTTATTGATATTGGATGAACCTCTTGCTGGTCTTGGTATGAATATGCATTTTGTACTCTTTAATTAATATTTTCACATCATGATAGTTGTCTTCTTGCTTTTATATTCAAATTTCATTGTTGTTTTTCCAGCTACACTTTTACCAGAACATTTTTTTTCATAATGTTTTCAGGAACATGGGTATCAACCCTACCTTGTAAATTCAATATTCATTATGTTTGTTCATTGGCCACAACAACACAACAGCTATTCTTTGGCCATAACATTTTTTTTTTCAAAAATATTTTCGGGAACATGGCGTATCAACCTTAACTCCTCTGAAAGTTTTCAAATATCTCAATCTTGTCTCATACTTTATGCTTCTAAGTCTTTTTCAAAAGCTGCTGAAGTATTGTTTTTTTTCTACTCTGAAAAATTAGATTGGAAAGCACGTGCAGATGTTGTAAAGTTATTGAAACATTTAAAGAAAGAGCTAACTTTACTTGTTGTCAGTCATGATCTCAGGTAAGTTTTAGTTATTCTTTATCTTTTTTTATACCCGTTCGCTGTTTACTGTAATAATTTATTTGTTTTCAGATTGTTAATTTATTTCATTAAAGGCATGATTTTTACTGATGACCAAGAATAGCAATGTAGGGAATTTGTCTGGTAGCATTTAAATTTCCATGAAAAGTAAATTAGTTCAATGTGCTTTACATGGCATTTTGACACACAACCCCTTGATTTTGAGAAGTGTCATAATTGTACATGAAATGTAGGTCATTTATTGAAAGTCAGAAGTGCAATTTTTATTATTATTATTTTTTAAGAGTTAATCAAATCAATTGTACTGTTTAAAATTCTGTAAGAAACAACGATTTAGCCTTATCCAAATCTTTGGGACTCTGTGAGAAATAATTGTTGTGATGGCTTAAAAAACACCAAAGTCTTTTGAATTTGCATTGGTATTTCGTTACTATTTTTCAAGAAGCCTAGTGGTATTATTTATTGTGGCTAATCAAATGAATCTTACCCATTACTAAAATGAATTGTGGCAATGCTATATAGTTTTTCCTTACCTTGGAGTGATGTACATCGCTTATGATGGGGCTGTTGTATGCCTACAGGGAGCTAGCCTCTCTAGTTGATCACTCTTGGAAGATGGAAATGGGTGGAGTACTTAAGGAAGAGCCTCTATCTGTTCAGTAGTCTCAGTGTAAATACCTTGTCAACAATCGATTACATGCATGAGGTATGACAATTTTTTGGGGGGCTCTTTTTTGTGTTTCTTCTGTTCATTTTTCTTGTCCTTTGCTTAGAGAAATATCAAGAACCTTTCATTACTGTTAATAGTGCTGGGTAATGGCCTTCTTTTGCCTTTTATTTTGTTGTTATTATTATTCTTATTTTGAGATTAAAGAATTAACACAATTAAGACAAACATTAGATCACCTCACAAGAAAAATAGGGGAAAAAAAAAAAAAAAAAAAAAAAAACTCAGGTTTCACCCTAGTAGCAAATTAAAACCCTGGGTTCTTAATTTTCTCAATTTAAACAATCCTGATTGTCAATTCCAACTCCCCATCCATCACCGCTTACTGGCCCTAGCAGAGGAGGGATAATTTTATCAATTTAACCACCTTTGTCTTCCTCTTTCTTTGCCCTTCTTGCATGACTCCAAAGCAAAATGCAACTCAAAATCTCAACTCATAATAGGCCCCACAGAAATTATGACAGACAACTGAAATTATTCATACTAATTAGGACACGCTGAAAGTTAATTCTGAAAACCACAACATTGATATCACACTAAGCAAGGTGATAGAGATGCATCTTTTATTTTCCTATGTTTGCTTGAGGCCATCATCACTCTCATGACTCAAAACTAGCTGAGTACTCACCAACACACATAACATCACTGAACACCACATAACAGTTTTTACTGAGAAAAAGATAACGGCTAATTGCCACTTCTTTCAGCTTCTGCTGCTTTAGAGCTCTAAGACCAAGTCTACAATACAAACAGTACAAAAAGGTCAGGAATAGTTGCATCAATGTTTGTGGTTTAATATGTGTTTCAGGAGATTACATCGAATCTTTAGCAAAGTGTGTTCCATTCTCCTGTGCAAGTTATAGAAACTGCATATATTGAATTATGTGTGTGTGCATATATTGAATTATGTGTGTGTATGTAATTAAATGCAGGGTAGATGATATGCACCTAATTGAATTATTTACACAGTCACTGTAATTTAGACAGTCAGTCACTACTATAACCTATGTTACATGGACCCTTCTAAATTTCTTAAGTACCCGTGTTGGACACTTGACATTTGAGTAAGGGTAGGATATCTGCATTGAACATGTCTAGTAGGACATGCACCTTGTTTTGTTTTGTTTTTCTTTCTTTTTTTTTTTTTTTGGCGGCATCCTAACAAGTATAGTTGAGTTTACTATATAACTATGCATAACTCCCTTGTTTTGTGTATAAACAGTTCTATGTTAGTTTGGAAACACCATTTTATCCTAAAAAAGTACGAGTAATACTAGACCCCCACCACCCCCACCCCCACCCCACGCAATGGTGGGAGCCTCATTCACCGGACTACTTTCTTATTTTTATTTATATAAAAAAATATATAATTTGGCTGTGTCATGGTGTCCTTGGCTATAGAAAATAGATGAATTCGACACTTAGATACATACCTCCACCCAACACCCATACCTGAGTCCATATAACATAGACTACAAGTTACAATCAAGTTAATACTTTGCATTAGAAATTGGACACTCTTGATTTCTGGGGTACTGGGATTTTTACCAAGTCGACAATAAAGGTAGTGCATATTATGTGTGTGTACTTACAGTCTGCGTCTGTTTTGATCCAATGCTCCTTCTTCTGAGTCAAACCACTGCTGCTGAGGCTCTTATGGCTTAGGTCCCAGTTGGTTACTTCCTTCTTTGACATACCTCTGAGAGGAGACCTGGTGTTGATTTTTTTCTGGAGAGTCAGACCTCCCTTATTATAGCCACCATCAATGGAATTTTTACTGACATCATATTTATGGGACTTGGTGTACTCTTTCTCTGCTGCTGATCTTTCTGGATGGACTTTTTTGTGTAACATTCTTAGAACCTGCGTGTGACACATCAGAAAATTACAGACTTAAGAGAGTAATGGTAGTGCTATTGACAATACGTCTAAGAAGCATGGACACGGACACATGACACGACACGAATACGACACGGACACGTCGACACGTTAATTTTAAAAAAATGCAGGACACGACACGTGGAGGACACGCATGAAATATATAATTTTATATATTTATTATATATTATATATATGAATATATCATTCAAAGATAATAAAAAATACAATATAGCACTATTTCCTATAAATTTATATGATTTTTGTTTTATTATTGTATCTTAAGTTGTTTTGTTCAAACTTATAATTAGTTTCACATATGTATAATCAATAGACGCAGGTGTTTAAACAATTGACACGTGTGTCCTCCAAGTGTCCAAAGAGCGTCCGGGTCTTTAAAAATATTTAAAAAATAGGACACGTTTTGAAGAGTATCGGACACGTGTCCTAAGAGTGTCCAAAGAGTGTCGGTGTCCGACACGGACACGACACGGATACGTCACCTTCTTAGAAGTGTCCGTGCTTCTCAGCAATACGTCCACTTCAAGTATCTTTACAGTGAGATTGTATAGAAAAGACTTCTATATGTTAGATTACATGGTTAATTTCTCATAGCATACTCATCATAGTCCACCTTGATAGGGCCATCCTAGATGGGACACCTTTAGTGAATGGACAACCATTATCTGAACTCCTGATATGGAATTCCTTTTGGTCATGACATTTGATGAATTTGATTGGTCTCGCATGTCTTTGGGGTTGTGTTCAAGAATATTATATTTAGCATTTCAACTTAAGTTGATTGTAGGTTATTTGTGATGATAATTATTGCTGGAAATTTGTGTTAATGCATAGAATATGATAGTGGTGTTGGTGGTAGATAGTGGCATGTATAGAATATGATAGTGGTGTTGGTGGTAGATAGTGGCATGTATAGAATATGATAGTGGTGTTGGTGGTAGATAGTGGCATGTATATAATATGATAGTGGTAGATAGTGGTAATATATAATATGTAAGTGGCATATAATGGGTTATAATGATGTTTGTAATATCTCCTATATAAGGAGTGTCATTTGGTCTTGTAAAATAAGAAGTTTTGAATATAACAGAAATATATTCCTTCTTCCTCATATTTTCGGAGTTCTTCTTCCTCATATTTTCTAAGTATTATCTAAGATTTACATAGGGGTCATTCTTAGAAAACCCAGTTCTGGGTTGACCAACCTTAGGGAGTTTCCTCTTGGTTGAAACAGCATCAGCAGCTGCACTACTAGCAGCAGAAGCTGCCTGGCCTGTTGAACAAAACTGGAGCCTCTTTAGCATCTTCTTGATGAAACATGTGGCGTATGTTCGCTTGGCATGATTCTCCCCCTTTTCACATTTATCTGTGGAATTGTCATACATCATATCCGTCCTCTTAAACAGCTGACCCAGTGTGGTCCTTTCTTTCTTTAACTCTGTGCTTGTTTCAGGCACTTCAATTGGAGAGCCAAAAAGGTATCCCTGGAGTGGACATACCACCATATCTCCGTCCTCTTCGGTGTCCTCACCTTCAATTTGCTTTCCACAGATTGTAATAATGCTTACATGACTGCTTCTCTCTGATAAGGCATCACCTACCTCTTTAGCTTCAGCCTCAAGGAACTTCTCCAGCTCATCATTGATAAGCTTCAATTCATTCTCTGTTACCTCTGTTTCTTTCTCAGTTATTTTCTCAACAGGCATGGGAAACGTTGGTGTTGGGGGCTCTGTAATGATTGGTTCTGATCCAAGGGTTCCAATCATGAGAAAGCCATCAAAGGGCATGCTGATTGTGATGGATGACTTTTCTTCATAAACCTCTTCGACGGCTCTTGGTTTTGAGTTCACTAGAAGATTTTTGATATCCCCCTTGGGATTGTCTTGAGTTTACAGAGCTGAAGGTTGGCTTTGTGTAGCATTCTTGTTCATAAAGTGATGGCTGAGTTGAGAGGCAAGAACAGAAGTTCCCTGAAACCAGAAATCAAAAGTTCTTCAATATAATATATTCCTGGGGTTTAATATCTTTCTTCTTGTACCAAATGAGGATAGGGACCAATTAGTGGCTGCAGTTCATGACATATAGACTTGTTTATGAGGGTTGCAAAGTTGTAAGATGACATAACTACAATGTCATATCAGTAACGCTATCATAAAACGGCCATAACACAGGTTGGGATTGATCTTTTAGGACCATTTTTGTTGAGGTGGGAACTCTGTTGATATCATTTTTAGCAAATTTATATGTAGTCAATGGAAAAAAACTCAATACATCAGATTCTAGTCCTCAAATGTGGTCTTAGAAATTCCGCAGGCTATTTTTTTCTAGTTAAAGGAAAAGAAAAAGAAGTAATTCTTAGGGATTTGTTAAACTGGATTAGGAGATGGGAGTACCAGTTGTGAATTCTTTGAACGGCTCAATGCTATTCTGCCGTAGTTTACGGTGCATCCAACCTAGCAACTGCAAACATTGACAAGCAAAAAATGAAGTTGAAAGGGTTGATCATGTTCATTCTAAATTTAGAAGAATTTGGACTCACCTTCATCTTAAACTTTCTTTTACAGGATTCAATGATAGATTGCTTTGATTGTCAAAGGAGACATAAATGGAGATAGCTTAGGGAAAGGGGATTTAAAAAGGAGAGATTTGGGACTGGTGAAAGAGGGAGAAAAGGGAGGATGCTTTCATTTATCAAAAAAAAGGAAAAAAAAAGGGGGAGGATGCTTTGATCATAATTGTTAATGAATAGGAGCCTGGTGGTGGTTGCTAGAAGGGTCTGAGATAGAGGTGAGCAGAAGATACATAAAGAAAGATACAAGATTTTGGTTGGCTATTCTTTGTCAATATCAAATCATGTGGACAAATTGAGGAGTGTTTTTACTTTTGTGTACGTGTGCTTGGAGATGGTTTCACAATACAGGGATGTATGTGCAGTTGGTCATTCATGAAGATAGGTGTACACATTAATGCAAATAATTCTGTTATGTAGGTCAGTCATCTGATGAGTTTGTGCATTGGCGTGCAATAGATTTATTCAACTGCTGACGGATGCATATGATGAGAGAGTAGATATATGAGTGTTATTAGATTCATATACACCTTTATTTTCTATGTGCAACAGTGAAAGAGCACGTGATCTATTACGAATTATTTTACAAGGTATTTGGCGAAAAGTCCACTATGAAGTGTATTACTCTCTAGAATACTATTGTATTTATCTTAAAAAAAAAAAAAAACTCTCTAGAATATTATCATTGAATGCTGTTGGGTCCAAAAATCTAAAGTACGAAGATATTTTACTCAAATTAGGGTCACAAAGGGGACTGAATGAATATCTAAAGTTTTGGTAGATAGTGCTTTGGCTAAGATGATCCTTTAAAATCCTTGTCTGGCTTGCCTGTGTCACTGACTAAATGATATCACTTGAATTAATGTTTAAAAATTCTGTGGGTCATTGCAAGTTTTGGTGTAAGAAATTGACTTGAGCTCCTCTAATTAACACTTGTCTTGCTTTTTTCTAGCAATTCATAATTTTCAGTATTTCTGGGTATATGACCACTTTTCACTCTAGTAAATTTGATTATGTTATTATTGTGTTGCAAGTCTAAAGCTCTTGATTGAAGGAATTCTCAGGGTCTCTGGTATGGTGTTTTTCATGATTAAACAGCAATCATAGATTATTAGGTGGTGCCTTTTTCGACAAAAGCCTGTAATTATGTCATTTTTTGGGAGTTATTGTTGATATCATAGACAAGCTATCATAAAGTTGAAACTGTTATGAGAGCTGTGCTGTGCACCACATGTAGAGGTAGCTCATTTCTATTGTGGATTGTGGACTCTGCAAAATTCTATTTGCTAAATGGAAGGTAATATTATTTCTGCATCTGCATCTATAATTTGGTGACCTGTGATTAGAGTTGGTAAATTTTCCTAAATTTGGGACTTGTGATAGAACCAAGCGCACTTACATCTACATATTTTTACTCAGTGATTATATTCTGCATTTGATGATGGATCGTCAGGTTTTAATTGACAGAATCACTCTCTTTTGTGGGAAATGGTCATGGGTTGATTCTGATGGAAAGTGTTTCCATTGAGGAGCCCATACAGATATAGTTGTCGGCTTGAAAGAAACTCGAGTGTACCCCACTAGCATCTCTAAATATAGAAGTGAGCTGAGGAGAAAGCCATTAGAAGCTTAGTGACAGTACCGCGCAGTCATTTCTTTGATTGAATTGTTCGATAATTTACGGAAGACAACAACTATTGCACCATCATCAAGGTTTTAAAAAGTGGTGTTACTTAATGGTTGCGGTGGTAAGCGCTACCTGTTACACCCGCTTTTGCGGTGTGACGAAAATTTACGTGTGTAACGGCCGTTTCGGTGTTACGTAGCAGTCGTAGTGGTACCATAATAGCCATAACAACCATTAAACACCGTTACAATATTCTGAATAGCTTCATTTTCAAAGAAAAAAAATCTTACAAAAAAGAACGAATACTCAAGTGATTTAAAGCCCAAAGAAAAAATCTTGTATGAATTTTTCTTTATGATTTAATTTTTATTTTTTATTTTATTACATTAGCATCTAAAATAAAAAACATATAAATAGTGGTTGTATTTATTTTTATAATCATTTCATTTAAATTGTAAATATTTTTTATTTTGTTACTATAATATGTTGTCTAAAAAATGTCTTTAAAAAAAAAATTAGTAGCTCAAAAATAATTTTTGCTTATGGCACAATTCTTATTTTTATAATCATTTCATTTATTACTTAATAGAAATAATTTTATAGTTAGCTATAAAGTGTTATTTGAAAAATGTCTTTAAAAAAAAATCATTAACTCAAAAACAATTTTTGTTTATGGCACAATTTTGATAATCATTTATTTAATAATTGTAAATATTTTTTATTTATTTAGTTCAGGTATTGGTCAAAAGTAATTTTATAGACATTTAAAATCAATTATTCTTAAAGTATTAACTATTGAAATAAAATGTAAAAACTTATTTTTATAGTGATTTAAAAATATGAAATATATTGGATCATACTTAAAAATTAACAAAACTTAATCAAAATCTATTTTAAACTCTTATAAATGTGATTTTGAAAAAAAAAATGTGTATCGGTAATTTTTTTTTCAAATTGTGTAAAAGATTAAAAAATTCAAGATTCTGATTATTGCAACTGTTATGCTACGGTTTTTACACCTTATAATTGTAATCGCGCTATCGCAATCGCTTTTCGAAAGCTTGACATGATTTATGCGGATTAGTGTAAAGTGCTAGACAGATTTGATCGAAGACATAGTACAATACCTATGTATGTGATGTTTGTGTTAGTTCGTCCATGCATAAAGCATGGCAATTCTAGGAGGTTGCTTATTAGGATAGAAGGAAAGCTCAAACTTTCTTCAACTGTAAATAAGGATAGAAGGAAAGCTCAAACTTTCTTCAACTGTAAATTCACCCTTGGATTTTCGTCTTTCGGTTTCTGATGGCAATGTATATGTTCTAAATATTTTTTATTAGTATTCTGTTTGAAATTGTTATGGTAATATTGGTTAGATGATCCGTCTTTTAGTCATCGAACCTACCATTTTGAATTTGGTGCTGCTTGTTGAAGATTGCATTTTTGAATTTGGTGCTGCTTGTTGAAGATTGCATCACTTGGAACTGCCGTTGGTGAAGTTTCTGGATGCAGTTATGTACTCTGACTGCTTTCATCCGCATCAATATTGTGCAGATGTTCAGGGAATTATATGTTTAACTAGAAATAACTGCAATAATATTTATGCTATAATCCAAATGTATGGCTGTTAAGTTCATTCAGTCATTATGATTGTTAATTTAACTGCAATAGTATTGTACAACGATATTTTTGTTAGTATTATTCAAAGTATTAGGTCCTCGATAATTGTATCTTGATAACCAGTTTCTTTGGTAGTTTTACCTTGATAATTGGTGCACCTATCTTTTCTGGGCAAATTAACATAGTATTATTGTGAGATGAACATGTGCTAACCTCCATTATTGCAAATTCAAAATTCGCAAGACAAATTTCTGTTGAAATTATCAAAATTGACATTATGTAGGGCCCTGAAGTGGATAAATTGCTGTTGAGGGGAACCTCATTTTTAGCTAAGCAACAAGGTGCTACAAAATGGCAATTGCCACTTTTTTGGAGCGAGGACAAAGGAAACAGACAGAACACCTCCATAAAGTATTGATTGATGAGTTTGCTGGAACAGTCGCCATTGTTGGATGATGACAGAGTGGTTCGAATTAGCAGGTTTGGGAAAAGCTTGTTTCCAGGGGTTTCTCAAGATGGATGGATGGACCCAGCCCTGGCCTCTTAAACTCCAAAATTTATCCCTTTCAGCTATAATTCTTGTCCATAGTCTTGCAAGCAAAGTACCAAGGTACGACAGTGAAGTGGTCTCAACTCTCAACTTATGCAACTGAAATTTTTGCGTTGGACTGATCAAACAATTGTGGTCCATCTGATGCCATATTGATGGGTTATGCATAATTACTAGTTTCTCTCACACTTTTTTGCTAGTTTATTCGGCTGCCTGTTTGTTAACACAATTAAGCACTTAAAACTAGAGCATTTAGGTAGTGTTTGGTTCACTAGAATGGAGTGGATGGAAATGATCATTCCGTCAAAATATTCGTTCTCATATTTGGTTAAATAAAAAAATAATGAAAAATACACTACAAACGGAAACATTATTCACTATTGTAAGGAAATGATCATTTTATAGAAAAGCATAAGGGATGATTTTTTCATTCCATTCTATCTCAGTGAATCAAATAGAGCATTATGGATTTGATTGTCAAGTACGTTTGATAATGCATAATTACTTACTACTTAAATATGAAAACTAATTGAAAATAGGTCTTAATTTAAGTAAGTGATATGGCTAGAGTGGTATGACCGAGTTCATAACTAAAGTAAAAAACAAAATACTAGTTTCATGGTTAGAGTGGTATGACTAGGTGGTATGGTAATGTCATTTTATTTTAAGCACAAACAAATTGTCTCGATTGATCATCAAAAAAAAAAAAAAAAATTGTATCAAAAATGGGTTTTCACCATTATTTTATGCAGAAGACTTATCAAAATGGAATGTGTTTCTAAAAACATTGTGATAGTAGTTTAAGAATTACTACTATATTGGTCAATTTTTAGGAAGAATATTTGTTGCAAGTTGCAACAATAATTTTTTTTTTTTTAAAATGTTTACTTAATTTTAGTTGTATATTAGATCTCATGGATAACAATTAGCCAATAATGGTTAGTTATTGTGGTTTACTCAAACAGCACATGGGCACTGCAATATTCATTTGCAGTCTCCTATATGTATGCAATAATGTGAAATAGAAAATATGGATGCAGTACCTTCAATCAGTCAATTGTAATTGTCAGCAGTGATTTTTGAGGTCACTTGTTGCTATTTCGTTGTAAGGTATTATCGGAAAAAATTACAGTTCAATAATAATTTGATAAAGCCATTATATATTTATAGAAAAGTTATAATTATAATTATTAATATTTATAAAATTCGATTATTTTTTTTAAAATTATTTTTTAAGATTTACACTGATTTGAATTTTTTTTAAAAATCATCTGATTCATCTTTGTTTTAGAGTTCAAAATTAGATATTAATATATGTCACCATCATTTTTTAAATATAGCCAATCTTATATGTATATATAACTTGTTTTGAAAATTCATATATAAAGTAAAAATAAACTAATCTGTTTGGGAAGATGGTTTGTGGCTATTTTAGTCACAAAAGACAAAATAGGTTATTTTAGTCATAACAAACAAAACAGCACATTTAATTCATAATTATTACACTTTTCTCTCACAAAGAAAGTAAAAAAAGTCAAAAAGTCTTTTTCAAATTAAGTTTTTTAACCCAAATTAAAATAATCAAAAAAAATTAAAATGCTATAAAGTCAACTTATTTCCCAGATTAACAAAAATAATATGTTGACTATTCGTTGTTATTATTTATTCTTTGACGTGTCACATTTCATTACCTTTATTAGTGTTGTATATGGGATTGATTGTTTCAACCATGGAAAGATGTTTTACATTAAGGCCAAGTTTTGCTACCTAAAATAAGTTTATACTTTTTATTTTTTTTATCTTTTTTTTATTACATCACTTTTTTATTTTTCTGTACAACTTTTCGTAAAAGACAAAAAGTACACTTATTTAGGTTATCCCAAACAACCCCTAAATAATAAATACAAAATAATCAAATCAAATGGTAAAAATAGAAGGATGAAACACCAATAAATACTAAATAGAGATTTTTATAAACGGTTTGGTCTTTTATTTTTTCTCATGGACTTAAAGGTCTTATTCTAGTGTGAATTACATAAATGGTCAAAATATGAATTTTCTCATAATGTTGAAATTACTAAATGTAATATTTCAAGAAAATTTGTTCGTGTACTTTTTTCAAATGTAACCTCTAATGTAACACTCAAAAAACGTAACATTCAAATGTAACACACTAAAAAATTTCTTAGTGTATTTTTTCTAAATGTAACACTCCAATTAATGTAACACTACAAAATTTCTTAATATATTTTTCTCAAACATAATAACATAACATTCTAAAAAAAACTCTTAGTATTTTTTTCAAATGCAACATTCTAATTAATATAACACATAAAAACTCCTTAGTGTACTTTTTTCAAACGTAACACTTTAATGTAACACATTAAAAAATTCGTTAGTGTACTTTTTCCAAACGTAACAGCGTAATAATCTAAAAAAATTCCTTAGTATATTTTTTCCAAACGTAAAACGCCAATCAATGTAACACACAAAAACTCCCTAATGTACTTTTTCTAAACGTAGCACTTTAATGTAACACTCCAATATAAAACCAAAAAACTACACTACAAAAATGTAGATTTCTACACTCGACAACTAACACTTCAGTCAACAGTTTCGTCTAAAAAGAATATTCCACATCTCACCTTTCCATTTCTATCCTAAAAATGAATTAGAAATTAAAAAAATGAATCATAAAAAGGCATTCACTTAAAGTCAAATGGTACCAAATCAAATAAACATAGCTTTTCAAAACAAAAAAGACTAATTGGTTCATAAGAAAACTTTTAGAACTAAATAGATCAACATTCCCCCACATATGATTTATGGGTAAATTTTCCAATCGTCTCCTAAAAATATATAGAAAAATACATTTTTTTTTTCCGGTTTAATTACCTTGAATAAGAGAGTAACACAACAATAATTTAGGCTTATTTTAAGACGTATGTTAAAAGTTAATTTTTTTAGGTTTTTTAGTTTTTTTTTTTTAAGCTTTTGTTGAAAAAATGTGTAAAAAAATAAAAATAAAAAAGATAATGTAATTTAAAAAATGTTAAAAAACTAACTTTTAACTCTTATGCTAAAAAGATGACATTATTCAGATAATATACTACTTTCAATTTCCCATAGTGTGAGGAGAGAGAAGTTTACCACTCAATAAAATGTAAGAACAAATCTCATAAAAATCAAATGTCTCGAATTTTTAAGAATCTAAAATTTCTGAATATTAGTTTATAAAAAATAACAAGATTACAAAATCATAACTTATTCAAAAATAAGAATTAAGGATCAAATTTATTACCCTTATAAATATTATATTTTATTAATTTAATCTCTGCCACGTATCAATGATGAGATCTAACTTTTTTTATTTATAAAAAAATAGTGTAGATATTAATTTGATTAGAGATCATACAAAATCCACCATTGATGTAAGCCTAAGTTAGCTTAGGCTTATTTTAAGACGTACGTTAAAAGCTAACAGAAACGTGGTTCAATATTAGTTGTCCATTCTCTGCCTATCACCAGATATGACAGTATTTTATTTTCTCGGATTTGCCCCCCAACTCAACTCAACTCAACTCAACTCAACTCAACTCCCATTGATTCTCTTCTACTCAAATGTCTTTTTCGTTCCCTTCATAATCATAATAATATGTTTTCTTTTTAGGCAAAGAAAAGAAAGATAACCAAAAAACAATCCAATCAAATCAAATCAAATCAACAAATCAAACTCGTATCGTATATTCTGATTAAGAGAATCTCCCTCCAATCCAATTTTTCTAAATTCTTGGAAGATTGGGTAACAATGGGGACTCAAACTGTTGAGATCTCAGAGCCATTGATTGTTGAACAAGAAGCTGAGGAGAAGGTCAGGAACGATGATGACTTGGAAAGTATTCCAGAATGGAAAGACCAGATCACTTTCAGGGGATTGGCTGCGAGCGCTGTGTTGGGTGGACTCTTCTGTATCATCACCCACAAGCTCAATCTCACTGTCGGCATCATTCCCTCCCTCAATGTTGGCGCCGGATTGCTAGGGTTCTTCTTTGTCAAGTCATGGACTTCCTTTTTGTCCAAATTAGGGTTTTCGGTTCAACCCTTTACCAGACAAGAGAACACTGTTATTCAGACCTGCGTCGTCGCCTGCTATGGCCTCGCCTTCAGTGGTAATTTCTTTCTTCTTTCAGATTTCTGTTTTTGTTTCTTCTTCTGTTGTTCTTGTTGCAGTACATTAGTTTGAATTTTGCCATCTGTGAATTGGTAATCATATTATTATTATTATTAGACAACCTATTTTCTACCATTCTCCATTGCATTTTGCTGGTAGGTTTAATCAGCATTCAAATTACCCATTTCATAAAATGAATTTTGTCATATGAGCATTCCGAGCATTTTGTTTCGTTTTGTATTTTTTTTTGCACGGCTTTTTTTAACTTATATATTTTATAACTTGTGCTCCTCCTTTTTCTCAAGTTTGATGTAATTCTTAACATTCATCTGTTGACAGGGGGATTCGGTTCATATTTGATTGCAATGGATGATAGAACATACAAACTGATTGGTGTGGATTACCCTGGTAATCGGGCGGAGGATGTAAAGGACCCTGGCTTATGGTGGATGATTGGTTTTTTATTTGTTGTCAGTTTTCTTGGGCTATTTAGTCTTGTTCCACTTCGCAAGGTATGTCTTGATCTTGACATTCCTTAATTAAAATTCCATAGTCTAATCTAAACTACTGCAATATATATATATATATATCAAATAAATAGAAAAAACCGGTTGGTTTTCTTTAGATAATTAAATTTTGTGTTTTGGAACCAAAGTGTACCATTTTTTCAAACATGAGTTCCAAAATTTTAATTGCTAGGGCAGTGGTGTTGTCTGGTAAACTATGCCTGAGATATATTATTATCCAACCTCTTGATCTTATTTTATAATTGATTGTGAGTTGCCAAACTCGAGGTTTGGTTGACTGCAAACTAACTTGCTGGATTTTCTGCTTATAATTTGATGCGATTACTTTGAATTGTTTGGAAGATTCCTCATCCATCCAAAGTACTAATAAAAATTTCAAGCCGTTTTACATTGGTACTGTTATTCACGAAATGGTTGTCATTATTGTTAGCACTTACCTTATGTTTTTGTCTATTGTTGTGTTTTTAGGTTATGGTCTTGGATTATAAGCTTACATACCCCAGTGGAACAGCGACAGCAATGTTGATAAACAGCTTCCACACAAATACTGGAGCTGAGCTTGCAGGGTAAGGGATCGATACATGATGTTTTTCATGTTTTTTTTTGTTGTTGTTGTTGTATGTGTGTGTGTATATCTTGGTACATAATTTATGAAAGATTAAACAGATCAAGAAGAGTGCATAAAGATTGACATGGCCTTTTTTTTAAAAATCTTTTTTTAACAACCACATTAGTGTAAAGCTTGAAAATTAGGTATTTTCAATAGTTTTTGGTTAGTAGCTTGTAATTTTCATGAGATTATCAATTTATATTATCCACATCATACCTACCCTGACTAAAGCTTCTATTAAATGCCTTACAATGAGGGAGAATATGACAATATGCTTTAGAATGTTGGCTGCTGGAAATGGTCTTCTGTTTTCATGTCATCAGTCTCTTAGGCCTTGTTTTGGAGCTTGGGTTTTTGGCTAAAAAAGCCAAAGTCAAAAAGCTACTAAAAAGTAAGTCAAACACACCAGTTACTTACGTTTTTCCATACAATTAAAAGAAGTCATTCCCAAACACAATAACTTTTTTTCACCTCATAAAAATGCCAAAAAGTTATTAAAAAGTTCAGACCCCAAACGAGGCCTTAATCCCCAAAAACAAGTATAAAGAAAGAACCAATAAAATATTTCCTTTCGATGATGAGGAATTCTATTAAAATGCCTTTTAACGATTGAGCTCCTTAGAATGTAGAATACTTGGAAGGGTCTTCAAGTTTAGTTCATTATCTCTTAAGCTAAAATGGCTTCACATCTTCCACTGAGCTTATTGAGATCTGATTTGCTAAAATCAATGGTCCTATTTACCTTTCTTCCTGGATTTGGCCCTTTAGCTAATTGATGTGGTTAGATTTAGTTATTTGGTATCTCCATTTCTTTTTATTTATTTATGTTGTTGTTTGAGATCACTGCTGCATGACAGAAAATTCTATCCTTATGGTTCTTTGTTGTATTGTGGCCTTAGTGTGAGGAAAACAAGAAACACATTGAGTCATCTTATGGTGAAGTTTTTTGATGCTGCATTCCTTTTTATCTCCTATCATCAACAGAGGACACGATTTAATGCTTTGTTTACTAGCAGTTTGGAGATGCTAGCTTACTGGTGTTCATTGTTATGATTCAGTTGGTCGATGTGAAGCTTTCAGAGGGATTGTCTCATTTTCTTTTAGTTAGAGTGTTGTTGAGATTTTCAGAGGGTGAATCTTCACTATTTTAATTAAAATTGTTACCTTCCCTTTTGGCTCCTTCAAATTGAGTCATTTGTGGACTGGACATTTATGAGACATATCTGTTCTCTGTAACAATGCTGGTGCGTTGACTTTCAGAAAAACAGTTTCCGATTCACATATGAAGGCCATTAACAATGTCCTATTGTGACTTTATTACAAACCTGAAATATATAAAAGGCGCTAGGTATTTTTTAAGATCCAACAGAGTAGACATACTTTTTCCTTAGATTAATTGGTAAATTTCTTTTACTGGAATTCATGGGGGTGAGTTTATCTTCTTTCGCCCTACCATTCCCTCTCATGGTGAGCAAAACTTCATTAGGACTGGAACTCCAAGTCTTTAGTTGAGTGTTCTTTCTATATTAGTTCCTTTTTCCCTGTTTAGTGCTTAAATCACAAAAAATTATTACCTTAAATAATTTGAGAGAATGTGTGACCATTTTGTTGGGTATCATGAAGTTGATGTTCATTGTATGCTCCTTTGAAAAATGGTTGTTGATTATGTTGACTTAAAATTTATTTGAGCATTTTTCTTTTAAATTGTTTTCTTGTGGTGACTGTTCTAATTAAATCTCAATTCTATGATTTATTTATTTATTTTTGCTTGATAGGAAACAAGTAAAATGTCTTGGGAAGTATTTGAGCATAAGTTTGTGCTGGAGCTGCTTTAAATGGTTTTTCAGTGGTATTGGGGATTCTTGTGGATTTGATAATTTTCCAACCCTTGGATTGACTCTATTTAAGAACACGTAAGTTTTTTTTTTTTCTTTCATTGTTTTTTTCCTAAAGAAGTGTGTGTATCCATCGGATGATGGGACAAAAATCCTTTTATTGCCTTGGTTATGTTAAATGAAGCTTATGTGTTGCATTACACTTTTCATTTGGAGCAAGTGTACATTCTTGGTAAAGTGAAGTCATAATTCTTATTTATGCTTTCCCAGAAGAATAGTTTTATATTTTGTTTGGAGAATAAAAGAATTATTTGGCTTACCCATGAATGAGGTAGATACCATGTGTATATGATAGATTCATGATACAATTTGGGAAATGATATAAATAAAGAAACGATATAAATAAGGAAATAATACTAAATTAGTGATTGGTACAATCACAGATTATATACATAATACTAAAAATAAAAAGATTCTATTTATTCTAATTTTTATATTCAACACTCCCCTTCAAGCTACTGTGAAAATATTCAACAATCGCAGTTTGTCAATGGATGACTAGAAGAAACTGGAAAAAACTCAACGACTAGTCCAAATAAATGCTACCGAACAAATCTGGTAGTCCACTAAATTAAAAAGGCCAAAAAGTGCTTAATACATTAGCACCACACCTTAGAAAGTTAAAAAAATAGGGACTGAAATGCCCTAGAAGAGCTATCGAAGCATCTATGGCCAGGAAACACCTTGGCTTTCAACCAACAAGACCTTGGTCGGCTTCAAAGGCCGGAGCTAATGCCGGGAGATAGTTTATGGTGGTGCCGGACCGTTGTAGAAACTGGTCGGAACTAATGTCGAGACAATTTAAGGTCATGCTCAAGGTTCTAAAAAGCGGTTGCGGTCGCCGTAACGGTGGCGGTGGCGCTGTTGCGGTTGCGGTTACGAGGTGTAAAGGCCGTAGTGTAACGGTTGCGGTAATCGGAACCGTGATTTTTTTTTATTTTTTGCACAATTTGAAAAAAACTTACTGATATGCATATTTTTTTTCCATGATCATATTTATTGGGTTAAAAACAAATATTGATCAATTTTTGTAAATTTTTAAGTATGATTCAATATATTTCATATTTTTAAATCACTATAAACTGAGTTTTTTACATTTTATTTTAATAATTAATGACTTTATATTATACAAAAAATCAATCATGAACTATTATATATAAGATAAATAATGACAAAAGTAAGAGAATAAATAAGAGTCTAAATATATATATATACATATTTTAACCAAGTCAAATATATAATGACCACACTTATTATTATTATTATTTTCAAACAATATATAGATAGACACACACAAACAAAATGGTTGAGTGATAGCAACTGAATAGAATAACATAGGTCTTACAGCTTCAACAAATCGATAACATGTTCTTTATCTCCCCTTTCTCTATATCTTGCTCCTCCATTTTCTCTCTTTATCTTCCCTCTTCTTTCTATCCCTCTTCCCCATTTTCAGTTTTTTTTGTGTGTTTTTTTCAAAAGAAACAGTTTGGAACTGTTACGTAACGGTGCGTAACAGGCCGTTACGGCTATTACGGCACCGTTACGACCGCTACGGCCGACATACCTGTGAATCTTAATCACACTGCAAAAGTGGCCGTAACGGGTGACGGTACCCGCCAAAACCGTTACGTAACGGTTACGGTCGCTTTTTAAAATCTTGGTCATGCTGGACCATTGTAAGAACTGACCAGAATCAATGTCAGGACAGTTTACGGGGTAATGCTGGACCATTATAGGAACTAATTGTAATCAATGTTGGGATAGTTTAAGGGGTCATGCCGAACCGCTGTAGGAACTAACCGGAATTAATGTCGGGACAGTTTAAGGGGTCATGTCGGACAGTTGTAGAGATTAATCGGAATCAATGTTGAGACAGTTTAAAGAGGTCATCTCGGACCGATGTAGAGAATTGGATGTTGAACCAACAAGCGTGGCACACACATAACTTTTGACGTGGTGTTGAATGATGATGGTAATAGATGACTGAGTGCGCCAAGGGGTGGCTTATTAGACAGTGTGCCAGGGGACGGCTTTGGTGGTGCGTTAGAGGGGGGTGACTTTAGTTGTGTGTTAGAGGGGGCGGCTTAGGTGGTTTACATGGTATATCACCATGTGGTTTACATGGTATATCACCATGCTCACCATGATATAGGTATAAGACCCCCCTTCAAACTCAAATAGGTTTAAAGATAGAAACCTATTTGAGGTTAAAATAGAGGGAAAGACAAAGTGAAACAGAAACACACACAAAAAAAATTGATTGCGAGTAAAAAATAATATGATAGAGATATTAGGGATAAGGATAAACTAGTGGATAGAGGAAGAGATCACCATGAAGTGACACTGAAAGAAAATATGGCAGTGGAATGGGTTGAGGTCCGGCGGGCGGCCAAGGCAAGGTTGTCACCCACCGGTGAAGCAAAATTACTAGGTACTTAACTTAATTCTGATACCAAAAAGAATAAAAAGAATTATTTGGCTTACCTATGAATGAGGTAGAGACCATGTATATATACAATTTAGGAAACGATATAAATAAGAAAATAATACTAAATCGGTGATTGATACAATCATAAATTATATACATAATACTAAAAATAAAAAGATTTTATGTACTCTAAATTAGTTATTATCGCTTGCTTATCCAATACAAGATGACAATGGTAACTGGCAATGTTTTACCACTGCTCTTGCCTGGAGAATCTTGTGATCACTGTAAAGCAGGCATTAAGACCTGTGCTTAAATATGAGGTGGAGCTCATGAAAAAGAAAAAAGGAAAATTTGAGTCGTGCATTGCAAAGCTTTATATTATGACATAAGTGCATGAGTGTGTATGTATGCATAATATCATTTACACGTTGCTTGCTCCACTGCTTCACATAAAACATAGAGAACCGTTATCCTTAACAGACACTATTGCCGATAATGTGTTTCACTTGTGTTAGTGATTTGTTGGTGATTTAAATCATTCAATAATTGCAGGTTTTATTTTGACTTTAGTCCAACTTATGTTGGATGTGGTCTTATCTGCCCTCACATAGTCAACTGTTCGGTTCTTTTTGGTGCAATCATATCATGGGGCGTTCTCTGGCCCTACATATCCCAACATGCAGGGGATTGGTATCCAGCTGATCTTGATAGCAATGATTTTAAAGGTCTTTATGGGTACAAGGTATGCTTAGTCATTTTTTATTTTATAATTTTTATTTATTTTTATCTATAGCAAAGTAAGGCAGTATCACTGCATTTGTCTACAGCTCACTAACTTGAAGCCTTGTACAATTTACTTCTTACATTTCAAGAATGACATGGAAGGTTCAGTGAGGTAGCCAGACCCTTGTGACTCTAGGTTTGAGTTCTATGGGTGATGTCACTGACATGCCTCTGAGGCACAGATCTAGATGGCTCTCATCATGATAATCTGACTCTTCTTTCCCTTCCCTTTCATCCCCTCCTGATAGCAGTTGGATTAATATTTCATAAAATTTGGTTGCAACAATATTGGAAGGAAAAAAAAAACGAACAATCCCTTTGTCATCCTTTGAATTGTTTTCAAACTAAATTAGGGAAGAGAGTAATATGGTGAAGCTATCTTCTCTTGGTAGACACTATTGGAGACTTGTGACATGTTGACTTCCAGTTTTAGTGGTGGTGTATCACTTAAACCAATGGATCCCTAACAATTTAAATGAATATCTCAAAAATCTTGGGGAATGTAGGCCAGTGGGCTGGAACTTCATTTATCCTTTTATCCTTATTACTTCCATATTGCATGGTGTTTAACAAATTTCTGTGATTGTTAGTATCTTGAAGTCTGTTTATAGAAATCACTTCATGAGGTGATATAGTTTTTCTTGGTGGGGAAAGGATTTATAAAATAAGCTCTTTCTGAGGCTTTTAAATTTCCTAAAAGATGGGAGTTTTTTACATTTTTTTTTTCCTTTTTTTTTTCCCTTTCTAAGGTTCACCTGTCATACTAAAATCCTATGCTCTATCTCACATATTCTCCTACCATTACTTTTGCAGGTTTTCATATCCATCTCCCTTATCCTTGGTGATGGCCTTTACAATTTGATCAAGATAATAGCACTAACTGTTAGGGAAATGTGCAACAGCACCGAACAGAAGAATCTTCCTATCATGAATGAAGTCTCAGGCAAGGATTATAAGGTTCCATATGGTAAAATGGATGTGTTGCCATGTTAATATGGTTTAAGGCCCCCACCACAAGAAATTTTTCCTTGATACTGCTTTAATTTATCTGCATCATTATCATGCCAGCCTTGTTTGTGCAAGCAGTGATCCATATCACCTTTGCTGAACATGTTACTGTTCATGAATGCATGTACGAATGGCTGTATACTTGTAAAAAAGATGCAATTCACCTTGTACTTATCCTCACTGAAATTATGAACTGGATTAGCAGATTAATAATGTTAAGTTGGTTGCTGAAAATTGTATCCACTAGTAAAATTTAACTGAATAATGGAAATTAGAAGTAATATGGTAATGTTCGAATTCTTATTGTGTTATGGCCGTATATTTGGCAAACAAAGGTCTAAGCGATTAATATCCAATGTTGAAGTGTGCAACTAAGAACTAACATAGCTTTAAATGTTAATATCAGGCTGAAAATTGTTTGCCTGTTTACCTGCTGAATTTGGATGATGGACAATCCTTGAAACAAGGAGGATCAACTAGGATCTTGCAAGGATTTTGTCCCATATTTTGAACATTTTATCTGCTATATAATGATGTTTGAAATTTAAATCACTAGTATGTTTAGGTTAATTTTTTGACTCTGGTGATGACAATTCAAACTGGCTCTTACAATTGTGGCATTTAATATACTGTTATCTGTTGATACCAACCCAGGTTTATTATCTCTTTAGATTGCAATGGTTGGACACTATTCTGGACAGAAATGTCATCACAAGTATCATTTTCTACTATCATGTACTATATTAAAAAGCAATGTGTAGGACTTCTAGCATTCAACTTGTGAAGAAAATTTCTAATGTGATCCCTCCAATTTTTAACAAAATGCTAAATTACCAATAGGTCCTACTTTTGGAACTTATTACCCATTAAGTTCTATTGATAAATTTATCTGTCTCTCTTGTTTTATGAATAAATTTACAATGATAAAATTACTAGTAAGGACTTGTAGGTAAATAAGTCTAGTCAATAAATTGATTGGTAAGTGGCTCAAAATTTTAAACTGGTTTGATCAGTGTCATAAGGAGACAAATTTGTTTTCAATATTTATTAGCTTATATAACTAATCCAAATTTCAAATAAAAATATCTCTGAACTTATGATTTGTATTTTGTATAAGGATTCTGAGTTTTTTGATTTATTTTTAATGTGCAAATTAGCACCATACCTTAGTTTTTATATTGCTTTATTAACTTTTTAATTTCCTCTCAACTTCTTAACCGCAACGTGCATGTGCAAAAATATATGTTTCTTCCTTGTCTTGACTCATGAATATTGACTTCTCCTGAGGAATTAATTTTTTCAAAACATGCTTTTGCAGATGGTGAGAGTTCTAAATTACTAATGGAGAAAAGAAAACAAGACGAGGTATTTTTGAAAGACAGTATACCATCCTGGTTTGCTGTTTCTGGATATGTGGGCCTGGCTGCAGTATCTACAGCTACACTACCGACCATCTTCCCACCCCTCAAGTGGTACCTAGTGCTCTGCTCTTATATTTTTGCCCCTGCGCTTGCCTTCTGCAACTCCTATGGCACTGGACTCACAGACTGGAGTTTGGCATCCACTTACGGAAAGATTGGTCTTTTTACAATTGCTTCATTGGTTGGACGTGATGGTGGGGTAATAGCTGGTTTAGCGGCATGTGGGGTTATGATGTCCATTGTCTCAACTGCAGCTGATCTCATGCAAGATTTCAAGACAGGCTATCTTACTTTCTCATCGGCTAAGTCTATGTTTGTGAGCCAGGTAATTGGAACAGCCATGGGATGTGTACTTGCTCCGCTCACATTTTGGTTGTTTTGGACTGCTTTTGACGTTGGGTCGCCTGATGGTCCATACAAAGCACCATATGCTGTTATATTTAGAGAAATGGCCATTCTGGGAATTGAGGGCTTCTCTGAGCTTCCCAAGCATTGCCTAGCATTATGTTGTGTGTTCTTTGTATTAGCTCTGGTTCTAAACCTTCTGAGGGATGTGACTCCGGCAAGGGTTTCACAATTTATTCCCATTCCAATGGCAATGGCGGTACCATTTTATATTGGAGCTTATTTTGCAATTGATATGTTTGTTGGGACGGTGATATTGTATGTCTGGGAGCGAATGAATAGGAAGGATGCAGAAGATTATGCAGGGGCAGTTGCTTCAGGTTTGATATGTGGTGATGGGATTTGGACTATACCATCAGCAGTACTCTCCATTTTCAGGATCAATCCACCTATCTGCATGTGCTTTAGGCCTGCTGTGAATTAGCTGAGCAAGTAAGTTGTACAGCTCTATAATTATCTGTTCTTATTGTTGTTGGCACATGTAAATGTCTCTTGTGAATTATTATGCATCCATGACTGTTACCTGTTTCGTTACATCTTAAAAAACAAAAAATTGAATGAATGATTGATTGATGAGAAAAATCTTTAATTTTCTTAACTTTATGCTCTCATGTTTTGAATCTCAACTTCCGTTCACTGCTTTCTTTGGGACCATCGCCATCCTATTTGACTGACTGGTAAACCTTCCGCCAAACATCTTTATCATGTCCCTCATCATACCAATATGTCCGGTAAGAAATTCGTGCCAAACACCCCAAAAAAAGAAAACCCTAATTTCAAAAAGATGATTAAACAGTGGTTGAGGATAGGTGAGAATAATATCTAGCCTTTTCTTGCTGATTGGGACCCCAGGTTTTACTATAGCCAAATTCAGGGTAACAATCTTACACTTGTACACATGGTGGGTGGTGGTCCTCAAACCGTGATAAGTGCCCAGCCAAACATTATGTTTAAAAGAAACCAAAGAGTCTTCCAAGCAATTGAGCCATGAAAATGTGCAATTGCTGCTTTTTGTAAAGCCTTTTTTTTTTGTTTTTGGTTTTTTTTTTTTCAAAAGATGGAGTAAAATAAATAAAAAAAAAAGAAAAGAAAGTGGAGTGGGGAACAGGAGTGTAATGAAAAAGAAAAAATATAGGTTGGAGAATCTGAGCATCGTGGGGAACAGGAGTGTGGGGAAAAAAGAGATTGGTTCACGTGGGTTGCTTAGCCCACGGTTTTGGGAAAACCTGTAATGGTTTTTTTTTTTTTTGTAATAATAATAAAAAAATAATAATAAAAAGAATAGATGAATGGCGAAAGCATGTGCCCGAAGCTCTGGTTGCAGAGGGTTTCCGAGGAGATCGGCGATTCAGGTCCTTCCTCGGTTGTTTATTTGTCAGATGGGTACGAGGCTGTTCTTAAGCACGACCCGTTTGAGATCTATGTAAGAGAGGATGGGTCGACGAAGATGGCGACGGAGTGGCTGCCGACGGGCGGCGGCGGCTAAGGGTATTTTTTATGCTTTTATCACAAAACATCATCAAACACAATGATGTGTTCTAATACTCTCTTCTTTTTTTTTTTAATTTCGAAATGAAATGCTTTACCTTAATTCATTCTGGTGATTCATTATGTAGGTAACTCACACCATATCAGATTTGAATCTAGATCTCACTCTTTATTTTTGTGCAGTTTGTGTGTTTATAGCTTTTCCCTTTTTGAAGAGCTAAAACAGTTTTAAGTTGATTGAAGTTACACCACCCATCTTCTGGGTTTCCAAACTAGTCTTAAGCTTTTTTCTATCAAAAGAAAATTGAGCTTAGCTTTTCTGATGAGTTGATAGATGAGTAGATCGCATCAATATTTGGTTACCCATTCGTTTAGTAGTCTTGTGAGCCAATTAATTATGTCAAAAAATTTGAATCTTAATAATATTTTGACTGCTCAAATGTCCACATTCCTGATTTAATAAGGTATGTAAAGTGAATGCAGGAAGGTTATAGAATTAGTTTTTGGAATAATTGAGAATGTAATAGCTCCATGTACTCCCAAAATTAGATTCCTTTTAACTTGCATATCAAACACATGGCATAGATTGTGATCGTTATTTTTTTCTTCTTTTTTTTTTTTTTTTCTTTTTTTTTTCTTTGAAAAGAAAAAAGAAAAGAAATAGAACAGGATTGTGACCACCCAATGACGTGTAAGATTCATCCTATTCAAAAATAATGAAAAACAATAGTAAAATTTATTATCTAATAAATAAATTAAAAAAGAAAAAACATAGAAGCTGATTGGTTATGCCTGCCATATTTCAATATTGTCTGTTTGCCCTAATATTGGGAAAAATTACTGCGAAAGTAGTTTATAAGGGGGCCTCTCTAATTTTGATCAAACATGTTGGTTTATATATATTATTTCCAAACAAAAAATTAAAAGACAATTAAATGTTACATAATCAAAGAAGAAATAATAATAATAATAATAAGGCCTCGTTTGGGAACAGGCTAACTTAGTAATTTTTTGGTTATTTGGCTAAAATATGAGCTAAAAAAAACTAGTATGTTTAGGATGACTTTTTGACTTTTTACGAAAAGATGTGTAAAAAATAGAGAGAAAAGAGAATCTTTAACTTTTTAGTATGAGTTGTTGACTTTTTGAATTTTTTACTAATTTTTTAACTTTTTAACTAAACCGGTCGCTCCCCAAACGAGGGCTAATAATAATAATAATAAGTAAAAAGAAAGGATGGCTCATATTTAAGAGAGGGATGTGGCATGAGGAAGGAGGATAATGTAATGGTGAGGTCCCATCTTATCGAATGACTCATTCGGTTAGAGATTCTGACTTATATAGAAACCTAAGAGACTTGAGAGATGGGTTCATAAAAAGGTTCCTATTTTAATGTGGTGGAACTATTATATACAATATACCCTCCCCCTTTTCACTGTTTTTTCCGTTCTTCCTAATCTCTACCCTAACTCCATTCATCATCTAATAAAAAAACTCCATTTACCAAACCCGATTATGGCTGTCACAAATAAATAAACAAGTTGCAAATAATCCAAGTGCAAAAAACGTTTTCCTAGTGATGTGATAAATAAATTATTAAAATGTTGGGTTGTCATATTAACATGATGAGATAGAAGAACAAAGCATATAATTGTAAATAATTGAGTCTCACGTGAGTTTTATTTATTTTTATATCAAAGATAGTCTTACCATCCTGAGATATACATTTTGCATATATATATATATATATATATATTATTTTATGCAATTACAAAGATAAAGATCTGTCTTAGGTGAGAAATGTAAACGATTAGATGAACAAACCTATCTATTACTGTGGGGATATATTTTCTGAGTACCAACACATGGCAAGGTGATGCTGACGTGTTAGCCGAGGTGCCACGTGTCTTGGTCATTATGCCGAGGTCATCTCGGTTAGGCCAAGGTTATCTCCGAAGATATCGGAATCCGAGATAAGCGGATAAGGGATAATGGACAAGAGTCCTAGAATAAAGAGGAGACTTAGCCAAGATAAGGATAAAGCTCTTAGGGAGTTTATCTTTATCAAACACAACGTAAATAAATATATATATATATATATATATATTAAAAAAAAAAAAAAAAGCGGTTTAATGGAAAAGCACTAGCACTTGTTGGATTAGTTGAAGCTTGATTCTATTAAATTAGCAAACTTGCTTCCTGCCATTCAAGTGGGCTAAATAAAACTTTTGATAAAGATGGAAGTTGGAAAATAAAATGATTAAGACAGACATAGATCCAAGCTTATCTCTTTTGGAAATTTATACATATATATTATGTGTGTGTTATAATCTTATGTAAAAGCAAGATCTTTTTCCCACTCAAGCTTTGAATTCAAGTGATATTGGAATGATATTTCAACAGCTTTGCTTTTCAAAGAGAGGGGGGGCCTCTTGTGTCTCCAAGATGGGAAGCACATGTGACCAGCAATGCAATCACCAACACACGCATAACCACCCCCACCATTATTATCATCATTACACAACAATTAAATCACTCTTCTCCCCCATCAAACCAAAGCTTAAAATTAGGGTAAGGCTATACATAAATAAATTTTTCATTTGATTTTTAAATTTATTTTCATCCCATATTAATAAACAAACATACACTAGACCCATTTTTTAAATAAGAATCTATTTATGTATAGTTGTTTTTATAAAATTCAAAAACAAAAAAAGACAGAATGAGAAAAAGTCAATCTCACCCTTTCTCTAATGCATATAACAAAAACCATCAAAATTTTTCGTTGTCGGGCTTACATCCTATGTGGTGTGCTTTTCCAATTGTATAGAATCATGTAATTACTTTCTCCTACTTTTTCTCGTATACTTGAGGTAAAATGATTATACGTCTTATTTAATATAAGGTTTTATGCTCACGTGATAATGTCGAACTTCCTAGATAACTTCTCGAACTTGAGAGAATACTAAAAGAAAAGCATAAAATAATGTTAGAATTCCCACAATGGTGACCAGAACTGAATGGAATTTCCATGCAATGGAATTCAATTGACTTGAATCAGTGCATGTTTTAGTTGGTGTTCAAAGCATGAAAATTATGTGTTGTTGATGCGAAAGCTTTCATATTACATGACTTAAAACAGTAGAATTTCCTTCTAGTCTTCAGTAGTTGAAAGGGGAGACAATAATTATGCCAACTTGCTCACTTTTGAATTTTTACAATACAAAAAGCAACCTTGCACTAATTTTCCCAACTATTTCATTCTTACGGAGACTAAGTTTCCCAAACAGTGGCGGATGACCTAAAGATCCTAAAAAACTAATTAACATCTCTTTCGCTTTATCTTTTTTATTGTCAAATTATGAATTAACAAGATGGTTCTTGAATAATGATAAAAAGGTTACAATTAAGCCAAGAGGCCCAAAACAACTTTTTTCTGCTACACGTAAACCTTGATTGAAAAATAACAAAAATAAATAGAAGAACGAAAAATAACAAAAATAAAAATAACTCGCTCTAGATGATCTCCTAAAGTGATATATATATAAATGGGAAATTTTAGATACTTGGACACTTGAGAAAGTAATTGTAATTAATAGAGTGCAAGTGAGAATCCAGGGCACAGTGCTCACTTATACTCCATTGATTTAAAATTAAATTTTCAATTCTCATTTATACACTACAAGAAAATACATTTTTGGCTACCAGAAACAATTTAGTCGCCAAAAGTTACGGAATTGGCTTCAAAAAATAATATTAGTCGGCAAAAGTCAACTTTTTAGCTACTAATTTTTTTTAGTAGGGGAATGTTGATTATTGGCGACTAAAAAAAATTTAGTAGCTAAAAATATTACAATTGACGACTAAAATATTTTTTAGTAGCTAAACATATAACAATTGGTGACTAAAAGAAATTTTAGTAGCCATAGAGGTACCTTTAGCTACTAAATTGTTTAGTAGCCGAATGAAAATAAAAAAATTATTTTTGATCTTTATTTTGGTCGCCAAAAATATATTTTCACCGACAAAATTCATTTTTAGCCGCTGTAGACCTACCTTTAGCTACTAAATTGTTTGGTAAGGCGAATGAAAATAAAAAAATTATTTTTGATCTTTGGCGACCAATTTTGGTCGCCAAAAATATATTTTCACCGACAAAATTCATTTTTAGTCGCTGTAGACCTACTTTTGGCTACTAAATTGTTTGGTAGGCGAATGAAAATAAAAAAATTATTTTTGATCTTTGGCGACCAATATTTTGGTCGCCAAAAATATATTTTCACCGACAAAATTCATTTTTAGTTGCTGCACACCTACTTTTGGCTACTAAATTTTTTGGTAACCGAATGAAAATAAATTTTTTTTTGATCTTTGGTGACCAAATTATATTTTAGTCGCCAAAGATGATTAAACAAAATAGTTATTTTATTTATTAACAATAATACCATTAGTCTCCACTTGGAAATTTGACTAAACAAAATAGTTATTTTATTTTATTTAGTAATTTGTCGTTTAGTAATTTTATTTTAAATTTTTTTATTTTTTCAATTCATTTTATCGAACCGAATCTAAGAAATATATATGTTTTAAAATTTTTTAAAAATTCAAAATTCAAAATAAGCAACAAATATTTACTATTTTTTTTGTTAATTTTTATCTTTATTGAATTTTTTTTGAAATTTTATAAAAAAATTATAATTTTTCGATTTGTTTTGTCGAATGAAAACGAAAAAAAAAAATATGTTTTTACCTTTGGCGACCAAAATTTTGGTAGCCAAAAGTTTGTTTTTAGCGACAAAATTGAATTTTAGTCGCTAAAGATGTAAAATGTTTTGGAGGGAGACATTTCAAATATTTAGAGGGATTTATAAAATATCTTTAGCGACAAAAAGGTTCAGTGGCCAATAACCATTTATAGAAATTATCTCACGCTCTCACCAAACCAAACCCAACCCTGAACCATTAATAGCGCCTTTCTTTCTCCTTTCTCTCTCTCTCTCTCTCTTCAGCGTTCTTTTCCCTCTCCGTCTCCCTCTCCCTCACCGCCGCTCCTCTCCCCTCCACTCTCACCGCCATTTTCCTTTCTTGATCAGTGTGTTTAGAATTGCAGAGAAGCTTCGAATTCGAGTAAAATGGCGATGACAGTGGCACATCAGCACAGAAAGAGTAGCAGTGATAGCATCAATAGGCATCTCGATGCCGGAAAATATGTCCGGTACATTGGCGAGCAGGTGGAAGCCCTCGAAAGGGTTTATGCCGAGTGTTCGACGCCGAGCTCTTTGCATCGGCAGCAATTGATCCGCGACTGTCCCATTTTGTCTAACATCGAACCCAAGCAGATCAAAGTCTGGTTTCAGAATCGCTGGTAAAGAAGAGGCCTTGATGCAAAACTTTGGTTATTTAACTGAATTTCTTGGAATTTTTGTTTAAATGTGTAGATTTTGATTGCAATTTTGCTTATTTGTAAATAAATTAATCTGTGTAATTGAATGTAAATTGGGTTCGTAGGTTGGATTTTGAAACGATTTTTTAAAGTTTCTTTTGGCCTATGCAGGTGTTGAGAGAAGCAACGAAAAGAGGCTTCTCGGCTGCAGACTGTGAACAGGAAAATGACGGCGATGAACAAGCTGTTGATGGAGGAGAATGATCGGTTGCAGAAACAGGTGTCACAGTTGGTATGCGAGAATGGTTTTATGCGGCAACAACTGCACACTGTATGTTAATTTATCTCTTACCCTATTGTTGCTATTGCTATATATTTATGGATCGACTTCTCTTTCTTGTTATCTGTCTTTACTGGATGCATTTACTTCTGAAAAGAATCAAAGGGTTGATATTTGTTATATTTGTAGAATGATAATATAAATTTCCAGTTTTGGGAACCCCAACTTTACGGGTTCTTCCAGAAGTTGTGAACAACTAGCAACTGGGACCAGTCTGTGGGGTTGTGCATTTTGTTTATTTTGTGATCTTTTTCTTTTTGCTTCTATGTGTTTCAGATGCCTATTATATCTATTTTATGTCTCAAATTGGATGTCCAAACATATTTGCTCAATGCTCTGCATAGATAGCCTGTGAAATTGGTAGCCTGTTCAGTTTTATACTTTGAAAGGAATTATATTTAACTGTTCTACAATATAATAAAAGTCCAGGAATTATATTGAACTGCTCTGAAAAACAACAAAAGTAAAGTTTCCTTATGGCATTTTCATGTTTTGGCTTAGATACTTATGTTCAATGAATGTCCTGCAGGCGTTGGCAACTACTGATGCAAGCTGCGAGTCTATGGTAACCACTACTCAGCATTCTATGAGAGATGCTAATAATCCTGCTGGGTAACCCTCCAACATCAATGCCATCACCCGCTCCTCTCTGCAATTCTAAACACATTTGAATAGAAATAAGAATTTTGTTTTATGGAAAATGGTTGCAATTGTATTGGTTGGGTTATTTTCACACATTTTTAAGGTTTTTAAAATTCAGGGAATGTGCCTGTAAAATTCTGTGAACATGTTTTTGGGGGAAATTAGTCTATTCATGAAATTTTTATGTTATCAGTGGTCCCAGAACAATGTAATTTATGTTAATACCCGCTTTGTTGCTGCTACAAAATGATTTGGTAATTCAATTTTTAAGGGGCAAGTGCACTGTTGCAATTGCTGATTTTTCAATGCTATATGGTTATGTGAAAATGTTTTATAAAGATTAGTTTATAAGTATTAGCTAGCTGGTGGAGTCATTTGCATTGGAGGGTAGTTTTTAATTCTGTAATATTTTAATTAATTAATTTTTTTTTAAGATGGCATATTCTGGTGCTGCATAACCCCTGTTGCATGGGAAAGTAGTTAGTTATCATTCAATGGTTTCAAATATTTTACTAGAAGTACTAGATTTGTTACATGAAAACATATCACTGGTTTAATTTCAATTAGGAATCAAAATAGCCTCTAATACAATCCATTCTTAATTGTTGCATAAATGTGGGTTGAATACTTTCACACAACAGGTAAACTGAAAGAGATGAAGGTAAAAAATGAATAAGTGCTGTCAAAGGAAGAGCCACAAGTAGAGAAGGTTGGTGCAGTTGATCAAATTAAGAAAAAATATGGATTTACTATGTCTGGTGTAAGTATGCATCTAATAGATTTATTGTCACGACCCAAACCCGGCCCTATGGGTTTAACACCGTAATCGGCCAGTAATCCGAGATTACCGATGGCCTGCAGAACAGTAGTACAGTAAAACAGAGTACAAGGCCTGGCGGAAGCCAATACAGTAAATAAATAATGTCCATTGAGCTGTGACAGTCTGCATGCCAAAAGATTTTTCATGCATTCACATATACAAACAGTACAGTCTATACAAAATTTACAGTCACACAGTACAGGGACTTAATCCCTTGATAACAGTACGGTAAACAGTCAGTCTATACAATTCATCCAGTTATTACAAAACAGTAAGACAGTACAGAAGGGGGACTTCTAAAACACCCCTAAGCCTTAGCACGATAGGCTTGGAACCTCGCACGCTAACCTAAGGCCGAATTTGACAAAACTGGAGTAACCCTGACGCCTCTAGCTGCGGTCTGGTGCCTGAACACCTACATATATATATGAGCAGTGAGCTAAAGCCCAGTGAATAACATAAAGCGTAAATATATATATATATATATATATATATCAAATGGGGGTTCAGGAAAAATAGATTTCATGTTAAGAATCATTTTTATTTCATCATAGTTAAATGGGTTGAGACTCTTTTTAATTATCAATGGTAATAACTATCAATAGTCATATTTTTACTCACCAAATATGGGTTGACAAAATGACGGTTTGTCAGAATTTTTTATTTTTGTGATTTTTATTTTGTTCTTTTTCAATTTTTTGTTTGATTTCTGATTGTGTTTTGTTCTTACTTGCAGATTGTTTCTCGACGCTTTGGTTAGTACTTCGATCTCTGGTTTTTTGGATTCTCTCTCTCTCTCTCTCTCTCTCTCTCTCTTTATTCTCCTCATCAGTTTGTTCTCCAAACAAAAATTCAACATAAATTGCAGGTAATTTTCTTTGTTCCTTGCAAGATTTTGATGGAAAAGTTTGTCTTTGTTTTTATCTTTATTTGGCAACATTTTTAAATAGAAAAACATGTTTTTAATTGTTTTCAAAAAAATCTGCTCAAATTTGTTGTTTATGTTGATTTTGAATTGGATTGTTCAATCTTGCCAGGCCAGATTTCTTCAAGTTGTTTTTTGTTCACATCTATATTTATTTTGCTCACCAACTGTTCGACATTTGGTCTATGACATGTAGAATGAATTGTTTAAGTATATATGGACCCCAAAGCATCTCTAGTTTGCTCACCAACTGTTTAACAATTGATTTATGATACATAGGAATGATCTGCTGGTTCAATTTTAATTGTGTAGTTTTGTGGATTTTTGTTAATTGTTTTTATTGATACTAATGTACTCGATAGTAATCTGCTGGAGCAATTTTCTGCTGGCAAGATTGATGCAGATGGTTGAGCAATTTTTTGCTGGCAATTTTAATCTGCTTGATAGTAATCTGTTGGAGCAATCTATTGATACTAATGCTCTGTTTGAAAATTGGTTTGTGATACATAGTAATTTGCTGAATTTTTTTGATGCATAGGATTTTTTTTTAAGATGAACAAGTTCTGTACTTTTAAGTTGTTTGTGTTTTAAGATGAAAAGTTCTATTTTTGTTGAACAATTCAGCAGATTCGACCTTCATTTCATTACACTTTTGGCCACTTATGATTTCAAGGACAACGACACCGAAGCTATACGTATCAACCTTCTCAGACAACTGTCCATGGATGGCATATTCTGGTGCTGTCTAACCCCTGTTGCATGAGAAAGTAGTTAGTTATCATTCAATGGTTTCAAATATTTTACTAGAAGTACTAGATTTGTTACATGAAAACATATCACTGGTTTAATTTCAATTAGGAATCAAAATAGCCTCTAATACAATCCATTCTTAATTGTTGCATAAATGTGGGTTGAATACTTTCACACAACAGGTAAACTGAAAGAGATGAAGGTAAAAAATGAATAAGTGCTGTCAAAGGAAGAGCCACAAGTAGAGAAGGCTGGTGCAGTTGATCAAATTAAGAAAAAATATGGATTTACTATGTCTGGTGTAAGTATGCATCCAATAGATTTATGTCTAATCATCTGTTGTGCACTCCATCACTTAACATTTTGTTTGAGTTGGTTAATTAGTTATATATTTGAATGGGTTTAATACTGATCTGAACATTCAAAATCTGACCAAGACATCACCTTTTGTTTTGAACATTTAAAAAAAAGAATTACGGTGAATAATTTTGGTCATGATTGTGGAAATGTGAGCCATATTGATTGTCATAATGTTTAAGATGGTTGTAATGCATTGTGCTGGAATTTTTGTTAGCCATGTTTAAGATGTGAGCCATATGAAAGGACTGGAATTTTTATTGGATATAAGATAACATCCACTACTTTTAAGCTTTATATTTAGGTTTAATTTCATATACAATGTTCCGGTAGGAGGCATTATTTCCATCTTTGGGTGCAGGATTCTAGTGCTGCAAAGATGGCACAAAGCAAATTGGGCGAAAATGTGAAGAAGTTGCAGGTATCCATGAACATTTTAAGTTTCAAATTCCTACATCTTGACAAGTGAAACAATTAATTCTGCTTTCGCTGATTGGGAAATACTTGAGGTGTTTTGGGTTATCATGCATGCCCCGAGAATGAGCTGCCAATTGCCATGCATTTGTTACATTAAGATACAAACGAATTAAGGGTATTTTTTGTTTGTCTAATGATATTTTATACAAGTATGTTTATATATCATGCATGCCCTGAGAATGAACTGCCAATTGCCTGTTTTGTCAGCACATCCACACATCCACTAGCTTCTCTATAGCATTTTGCTTAACTGTTGTAGTTGCTAAATGTGCCATTGACCAGTTTTTTGTGGTGCTCTTGGAAGAAGTTACAAAGTTGGACAAACATGAATGATCATACAATTTATGACAAGTGAGAGTGATTATGGTTTATTTTATTTCAAATTGTATGATTGGAAAATGAGATGTAGTTTTTTTCTTTTTTTTTTTTTAATTCCACGATGCATCATCTGGTGACACTGATCATTCCACTCTTTAGTAGGAAAAAATATTTTCCCTTTTAAAAATGACCAGTGCTTGATGATCTTTTTGTTTTCTTTATTTGCAGGTTTAGACTCTCAATATATAGGAATTGGGTTAAAATTTTATATTAAACTTGTTTGGCTGTAAAATTGAAACAACTTGAAATCTACAATTTTTATTTTCTTGATGAAATTGGTTTCTCACTTCTAGAAGAGAGAACTCTTTTCTTTTTATTACAAAAATCTGAGACTGAAGCATCAATAGGTTTAGTACCGCTGTTGCATTTGAGGCTGAAGATGTCAACCAAGCAGTGTCTGCTGCTCGCAAAGCATTCGACCAAGGACCATGGCCAAAGATGACTGCTTATGTAAGAATATCACACATTGATCATTTGCTTTGTACTTTCAGGAAAGATCACGGATAATGTTGCGGTTTGCTGATTTGCTTGAGAAGCACAGTGATCATATTGCGGTTGTTGAAACTTGGGATAATGGGAAGCCTTATGAACAGGCTGCAAATGAAGAAATACCATTGGTGTGGTAAATATAAGCTAATTTGGCAGGGTAGAAATTAGCATATATGCTAATTTAGGTTATGGTACATATGTCCTTTTTGTTAATTAATTTGGTTAGTCCTATATTATGTATGAAATAAAATTATTGACATTGGATTAGACTTGGTTCGTATGGAATTTGTATTATATATAGAATTGGACGTTCAATATTAATGTTTTGGATGGTTGGAGCTAAAATGTGTGCACATTGTTGAATGCTTGATAACATATTTAGTGTTGATGGATTATATTGTTTATACAGGGTACAGGTTGTATTCATAATGGATACAGGTTGTTTAGAAAAAAAATTTAAAAAAAAAAAAAACACGTTAAAGCATTTGGCTACCAAATATTTTGGTAGCCAAATACGTAATCAAATGTTTTGGTGACTACTAATTTAGTAGCAAAACATAACTCAAAAAGTTTTGGCGACCAAATAATTAGTAGCTAAAACAATTGAGAATGAGAGAAAGAAACTATTGGCCACTAAATTTTTAGTCACGGAATGCACCTTTTGCCGACTAAATAATGTTTCGTAGCCAAATGTGTACTTTCGGCGACTAATTACTTAGTAGCTAAAGGTGACACCTTCCCCAACCACAACAACTTAGTAGCCAAAAAGCCTCATTCGGCGACTAAAATTTTAGTGGCGGAAACATAACATTTGCCGACTAAACATAATTTAGTAGCGAAATGTAGTCACTTTCGGCGATCAAACAAAGTTTAGTCGCCAATACTATCGCCGACAGGGTATAGGCGACGAGTTTGGCGACAAAATATTTTAGTCGCTAAATGGTTTCGGCGACTAAATATTGGACTATTGGCGATCAATATTTTGGTAGCCAAAAGTAATATTTCTTGTAGTGATATGACATTTTCCTATATAGAACAAGAGTAGTACTATACAAACAAAAAATTCATACAACTTTTTTTTGAGTCTAAAATGATGACACAGTTTTGGATCTCCTCATTTTAAATCAAAAACCTATTATAACTACTTTTATTTTTATAATATTGTCATTGCAACATTTGTATAGTAAATTATGTATTAAATCTCCGTGTATAGATCTTTTTCCATAGAACAAATCAGAAATGTTCGCATGCACCGATCTCAACAATTATCATTTTGTCTTTGAAAAGGGTTGAGCACATAGTACAACAAAAACAAAAACAAAAACAAAGAATAGCTAGCTTTCAACGCGCATTTGAAAATGGAAGGTTTACCCTTTGTAACAAGGAAAAAGGGGGCCATCTTTGTCACCATCGGAGTAAATCAAGGAGCTATCTTGTCATTTTCTTGAGCTGTTTATTCATCATCTCCACTCATCAACAAACTTCTTATTAGACACCTCTCATTTCATTTCTTTATAGTATTTGTGTTGATGTCAATTGTACTTTTGTGGTTGCTTGCTTTCTTCTCTTAAAACAAAGCTTGCAAGAGGAATTAGGGTTTAGGTACATCTCAAAGTTGTAAAACAACTGGAAAAAAGAAAAAAGAAAAAAAAGAAGCACTTGAAGGCTTGAACATGATCATTAGACGTGTATCATTGCAAAGTTATATATGTGTGTTCAATTTCTAGCTGATAATAATAATTTCTGCTAAACATATTCTACTTTTTGCCAATGAAGGTAGCTTGAAGAACTCTGATGGCTCCAATGAAAAATGGGATTCCGCCTTTCCAAAATTTGAATTTAAGTTTTTAATTTTTAATTATTATTTTTTTTGAGAAACAAAAACAATTTTAAAATGTTTTTGGAAAAACCTTGTTTCATTTTTGTGCAAAAGCAATATTTGAAAATTTAAAAATAATTGAAAAATATTTTCTAAAAGACAAATACCGCATTTATTTCACCCCTTCATCTCCCATGTGTATTTATTGAAAACAATTCATCAAACAAATTCTCTGTACCAATTTTCGTTAGAAATTTTTTGCCTTCACACAAACCCTTCCGAATGAGGTCGCAATAAAAAGGTAAATTAATAACTCACACTTCTACACTCTTCCTTTCTCTTAAAACCTTCCGACTAATCTTGCCACGTCATTCAAAAGGATTTTGTGGAAAGAAATTGTGTGGATGTAGCACTGGTTTGGCATGATGGGTTGGGATTAAAATAATCATAAAAAAAACAAAATAAGTTTTTTAGTCATAGATTAAAAAATGTCACATTTAAATCATATTTATTTTATTTTTTTCTCACAAAAATTAAAAAAGTCAAAAAGTTCATTCCAAACGAGATTTTTTAGTCCTAGACAGACCTTGTTTGGGAACTGGCATTTTTAGTAACTTTTTGATTTTTTAGCTAAAATGTGATATAAAAAAAACTAGTATGTTTGAGATGATTTTTTGACTTTTTACGAAAAGATGTGCAAAAAGTAAAGAGAAAATAAAATCTTTGATTTTTTAGTATGAGTTGTTAGCTTTTTTATTTTTTTAATAATTTTTTGACTTTTTAACTAAAAAAATTACTTACCAAACGAGACCTGAAAAATTAAAAAATAAAAAGCCAACCCACACATTCCAAACGAAGTCATAGCATTGTTGTTTTCTATTTTTGAAAAAAAACAAAAAGATACCGAAAGGCACAATATCTCGAAACAGAAACTTTAACTTTTTACGAAAAGATGTGCAAAAAGTAAAGAGAAAATAAAATCTTTGATTTTTTAGTATGAGTTGTTAGCTTTTTTATTTTTTTAATAATTTTTTGACTTTTTAACTAAAAAAATTACTTACCAAACGAGACCTGAAAAATTAAAAAATAAAAAAGCCAACCCACACATTCCAAACGAAGTCATAGCATTGTTGTTTTCTATTTTTGAAAAAAAACAAAAAGATACCGAAAGGCACAATGGCCCTGTTTGGTACAGCTTAATTTCAGTTTATTTCAGCTTTCAACTTAATTTAAGCTATTTTGATGTGTTTGGTTTAGCTTATAGCTTATAGCTTTGTGGAAGTCATAAAACAGCTTATTCTTTGAGTGGGGCAGGAGATGCTTTAAGAATAAGCTGGAAATCAGCTTAAGCTGAAAGTTATAAGCTATAAGCTGTTTAGGCATAAGCTATAAGCACTTTCCCACAGCTCTACCAAACAGGGCCAATATGGCTTATAGCTTTTTGTAAGTCAAAAACTAACTTATTCTTTGAGTGGGGGAGGAGAAGCTTAATTTATAAGTAAAAAAACAGCTTATGTTCACAGGTAGAAGTTATAAGCTGTTAGGTTATAAGTTATAATCTCCCTCCTCCGTCTTCGTCTTCTTCTTCTGCTGAAAAAAATAAATAAATAAAACCACGAAACGACGTCGTTTCGTGGTTTAGGGGCATTCGGGGCGGAGGAATTCGAGCCCTCAATCAGTTCTCGTCTCCTTATATTTGAAAATGCAACAATACGTTCTTCTACGACATATTTTGGCAAATTGATGCCTCCGTTTGGCAAGTTGGATTGAGGTTTTTTTTGGTTATTTTAGTCATAAAAAATAAAATAAGCTATTTTAATCACAAAAAATAAAATATCACATCCAACTCATAATCATCACACTCTTCTCTCATAAAAAAAGTCAAAAAAACCAAAAAATCAAAAAATCCTTCCCAAACCAAGCTTTTTAGCACAGGTTAAAATAGTCAAAAACGTCAAAAAGCCAACCCACTTCCTAAACCAACCCTAAAAGTTAATTTTTTTAACTTTTAAATTTTTTTAAGTCACATTATTTTTTTTATTTTTTTTTATACATTTTAAAAAAAAAAATTAAAAAACAAAATAAAAAAACTACCTCTTAATCAACTTCCTATAACTCCTTGTTGCTGATTCCATTATCTATATTACCTTCTTTAATTTTTTTTTATAATAATGTATCTTAAGAATGGGCCGAGAGTGGGTTAGAAGCAACCCCACTACCCCCATTCATTGCATGACAGGTGTCTACACAGAACAAGCCTCCACTCCATTTGGACACTTGAGTTGAGTTCCTTGCAAGAGATGGCACCACATGTTGTTTTGTTGCAATAATAATAACATGCAGCAAGCAGGGTAGAGAAATAATGAGAGAGAGAGAGAGAATCCATGGAATGTGGGAATGGTTTGTCTGAGATGAGAAGTGGAGAGAAGTGATTGGATGGAGAGGTTATTGGGTGGTCCAGCATTGCTCCATACCATTAGATATTTGTCAAATTATCTCTTATTAATTTAATAAAAAACACTGAATCTCATAATTTTAACCAATCATATTGAATTAGGACACCATGTAATAACGCCTGAAGATCACTACATAATTTTTCGATAAGATAAGTGAATTTGACAGTTAAAAGTGCCTGTCCTATCCAAAACAAGCCAAAACCCACCCCATTGGAAAATAGGTATGATACCACAGAGAGATAGAGAGAGAGGCCAATGGACTCATCACTAATTTTATTAACAAGCTTCACTGCTCTACTCCTTTCTTGGGATTTCAATTTGGCCCTTTTTGGATTTTTCATTTTATAAAAAAATTTATGAAACTAAAATAAAATAACTTAAATAAATTATAAAAAAAAAGAAGAAGAAGAAGCTAATTATGTAAAAGATAGGGAGAAATTATTCTAGTTTTTGTCAATTAACTATTGCAAATTCCAACAATAAAAAACACATAAAATCAAATTTATTTTAGATGGATCTATATTTCAATAATTTTAAATTTATACCACATACTTCACTATTATAATTCAAAATTGGTGCGGTATGAATCACACTACTATGGTAATTTTATTTGAGTATGTAGTATTGTCAAATTTTATTTATTTATTTATTTATTTTTTTTTCACATTCCTTACCAAAAACAGTGAAAACTCATGAAATTCACGACTTTTTTTTTTTTAATTTTTAATTTTAAATATTGGTTTTGTGAGGTCACCTTCTTCAATGAAAAAGAAGACGCCCCTTTTATAGTTTTATAGTATTTTGTGCACACAAACCCCTGGTGTTTGATGGATCCCAAGGTCTCAAAGCAGCCACCACAAACACAGGCACAAACACAGGGGATGATGATGATGCCCGACTTCTTGAGCCTCCCACAGCCCAACACAAGCAGCAACAGCAACAACAACAACAACAATAACAACATGGGTGTTGAGGACAACAAGCCAGCAGAAATCAAGGACTTCCAGATTGTGATTGCAGACAAAGAATTAGAGGCCTCCAAGAAGCAGTTAGCCCCCAAGAGAAGCTCCAACAAAGACAGACACACCAAAGTCGAAGGCAGAGGAAGGAGGATTCGGATGCCAGCACTCTGCGCCGCCAGAATTTTCCAGTTGACCAGAGAATTAGGCCACAAATCTGACGGAGAGACCATTCAGTGGCTGTTACAGCAGGCCGAGCCCTCCATAATCGCCGCCACAGGGACCGGAACGATGCCCGCTTCGGCTCTGGCAGCCGCAGGAGGCTCTGTTTCGCAGCATGGAAGCTCCATATCGGTGGGATTGCATCAAAAAATGGAGGAGTTGGGTGGGCATATTGGGGGGTCAGGAGGTAGGACCAGTTGGCCAATGGTGGCTTTAGGTGGGAATCTGGGGAGGACCCATATGGCCACTACAGGAGGGATATGGCCCTCTGGGGTCGGTGGTTTTGGGTTTCAGTCATCTTCTGGTCCATCTACAGCTAACTTGGCAAGTGAAAGCTCGAACTATCTGCAAAAAATTGGGTTTCCTGGGTTTGAATTGCCAGCAGCTACCAATATGGGTCCAATGAGTTTCACCTCAATTTTGGGTGGTGTTGCTGCTGCTGCTTCTGCTGGTGGTGGTAGTAGCAGCCAGCACCACCTACCTGGTTTGGAGCTTGGGCTATCACAGGATGGTCATATTGGGGTTTTGAATCCTCAAGCTTTGAGCCAGATTTACCAGCAGATGGGGCAAGCCAGAATGCAACAACAACATCAACACCAGCAGCAACCATCTTCCAAGGATGATTCTCAAGGGTCAGGAGGACAGTAGATTTGCAGATAAATTATACAAAAGAGAGAGATTCAATTTGAGCAGTTCTGAGAAGATGGGATTTGTGTTTGGTTTTTAAAATGGTTTCTGTATTGTACAATTGCCAAAGTGGGAGAAAGAGATGGCTGAGAATTTAATAGGGTTCTGGATTTGGTTTCCCCATCTTTTCTGCCTCCACAGCTTCATCCAAAGTCACAAACTACAGGTGCTCCTGGGTCTTCTTTTTTTTGGTTTGTTTTTGACACTCAACACTAGATGCAATATATATATATATATATATATACATATGTATGTATTTTTGGGTAAATCATAGAGATTTTTGAAATATTATTTTTGCTACCATTATTATAGTTTTGGTTGTGGCTGGAATGTGCAGGTGAAGTGTGAAGGGCCAAATAGCGCTTTGGGTATTGGGCTTAAACTTCATGTTTATTTTGGGAAGGTGTGTTGATGATAGAGTGTAAGCTATCCTTTAATTATTTTCTTCTCCTTTTACGTCTGGATGGAGTGCTGAGCAGCTTGTTTTTATATAAAATCATAAAACAAACATATAAGAGTTTCATGCTCATCATGTTAGTGAAATTTATCTTAGTTATAGTGAGGGGTTTTTGGCTACACAAGACATTGTTCTCCCTAGTTTTCAATCTTTGGAGTCCATTCATCATATAGCTAGTTTTGGACACCATTGATATTGATATTGATAAAACTTCATATACCTTGTGGTTTTTACTAATTTGGAGATGATATATGTATATGCTCCACATTGTAAGTTTGGAAACCTGCTTGCTTGCTTGCCCGCAAGCAAACTGACATGTTGGTCCGGCGGTGAATTTTTTTTTTACTCAAAATCTTGAAGGCCAGTTTGTCATCTTCAGCATTTTCATAGTCAATTTTCCCAACTAATTCTACAAATAGAGAATTTTTTTTGCACATAATGCAATGCATGCAATACTGAGATGAGATTTTTTTACGGCACACAATCAGACACAAAAGTTAATGGATTGAGATTGACTAATTATTGACACGAACTAGAGGGTCACACAATATGATAATACAAAAATTAAACCAATTTATTTAGCATAACTCAAATTATTGATATAGTTAGGGTTGTATATTAGTTGTTGGAGTCAATTATGAGTTCTTTTAATTATGTGACAAATGTTATTCTTTTTAGATGTGTTCTTTCTTTTATTTTTTTCTTTTATTTTTTTTACTCTAAAAAGATAAAAAAGTGTATTAATATAAGGAATGGCAAACAATCCCTGATTGAGAGATAAATATAATATGTTTTGTGATTCACCATTTGTATGAAATACCACCTAGTGTTACTCTAAGATTACTTAATAATTTTTTTACTAATTTGACCTATATAACTAATCATGTCAAATATAATGACATTAGCTCCATCTGTTTATAAATGTGTTAATTTGATTATGACTCCACGACATGATTAACCCCTACAACCAAAAACAATAATTGAAAACAATTAATAAGTAATCCATAAAAGTTGAAAAGTAATCAAATGGATAAGTCCATCACCTCTTTATTTTTTTCACATCTTTTTGTAAAAAAATAAAAAAATATACTTATTTAGATAATTTCACACAACCCCTTATTCAATAAAAATGGATTAATATTATCTCACTTGCAATAATTTTGACTATATTGTTAATTGAAAAAATATATATATATATATATAATGTCTCATGATCTTCTTGTATATACTAATAGGGATTGGCTTCCCTTCACAGGAGGGTGCTTTTGGACCCGTGGAGACTCACCATAGGTTCTGTTTCGATAATTTGAACCGTTCAATCTGTAGAAATCATCGAGTATTATATGGCTATAAAAAATCAAGTTAATTAGATATCGATAGCTAGTTCATCAAATTAGATATCGATAGCTAGTTCATCAAATCAGATTTTTGTCAATCGTTTATTTTTTCATCGTCTATTTTTTTTTTTTTTTACAAAATTGATTTGATTATGTAGCTATCGATATCCGATTAACGTGATTTTTTACAAGTATATAGTACTCGACGAGTTCTACATATTGAACTATTTAGATTATCAAAAAATGACCCATAGTAGACTCCCACGAGTCCAACAGCAGGAAGCCAAACCCATACTAATAAATAATTACTTGCAGGTGTGTGCGATTCAAAACAAATGCATCAATGTATACTCTCTTAGATTTTGTTTTTAAAATTTTTAGGTGCCGATATTTATTGAATGTTAGTAATTGTATAGGTAATTTTCTTTAGGAGATGGAGCAAAATATATATTTTTTTTCATAAAGAAATTCACGTGGTGTTCCAATTTCTCATTCATTGGTTAAACTAATAGCATCTAGAATTTTTCGTTGAATCTGTAAAAAATAACTTGTCAAATATTAAGTAATAAATAATATTTCAAAATCACCCAATAATCACTGAGAAATAGAGGCATGTGAAAGAAGTCCCTGTCATTATAGTAGTAAACACAATCAGACATAATGATGTGATTTGAACCGCTGGGCACGTTGTTTTGACTATTCTTTTCTATTTTTTGAGAAATTTCGTTGTCACTATCACCCATTACCCTTATCATTATCATTACCAATTTCAATTACACTCTCTCCTTTCATTGCTTTGCCAATTCCCACTACTTTTCTTTCCGTCCAAGTTGGGCATTTGTTTGTCCTTCAAAGTCATCTTCAAATTATTTATTAATTTTTTTAGATGTATTATAAATTTATTTTTAGATTTAATGATATATAAATGAAATAATTAATTTATAATTAAAGAATATATAAAATAGAGAATTACCTTAAAATATTCTACCACACTAGCACATTATTAAAAGAGCAAAAATTCCTTCATACCATACAAAGACAATACAAATTCCTTCTTATTCAATAAAATCATGCATCCAATAACACCAAAAGAGCAGGAATCTTGTAATGCCACAATCACCGCTTACATGTTTTCATTTTTCATTTTTCTTTTTTATTCCACACTCAATGATTGCAGGGTTATAAACGAAAACCAACTTATTTAAACTTAATTCAGGTTTAACTTGTTATGCGAAGAACTTGTTAAAAATTCTTTTACGCTGTGTTTGGTTGGGTGATTTGGGAAGGGAAATGGAAATGAAAGGAAAAGGAGAAAGAATTAATAGAATTCCAAATCCCAACTATGTTTGGTTGTGTTGGTTATAAAATAGAATTGATGTCCTAAAAGGTATCCTATTTCTTTATTTATTTCTCACTCTCTTTCTTTTCCCATATATTTTTTATTATAACCAAACATAAATAGGATTACATTTCCCATTCCTTTTCCAAATCCCACCTCAAAAACTCCAACCAAACACAGCATTAAAATCTTACTTTTTATATAAACAAATCAAACATGAACCTATTTTAAAATTTGATTGATTTTTTTAACTCAATTTGAACTTGACTCTAAAAACTAAACAACTTCCATTTGAGATTGATTCGGAAGGTATAATTTGAACATATTTTGAAGGATAAAAAGAAAAAGAAAAAGAAAAAAAAAGAAAGAAAAGAAACTCAATGCATCCTCTAATTTATTTGTCCTAAGTGCTTGAGAATTGTTTGAAGTGTTTAGATTCGAATCTTAGCTACAGCTTTCTTTTCTTTTGTTTTCGTCTCACTGATTGTGCAATCTCAGTAACTTCATGGTCCTTACTTACCTTGTGTTATATAGTATATGCCTTAAATTCAAATTCAAATTCAATTCAGTTTCAGTTTCTTGCTGACAGGAAGTGGGAGGACCCAACTCATGTTTGTTTGTTTGTTTGTTTGCCTGGTATGAATTTGCATTGCATTTATTTATACAAATATATGTATATGTATAAAGCTGTTTTTATTATGATCAGTCAGACAGTCATAGTCCTCCCTCTCTCTCTCTCTCTCTCTCTCTCTCTCTCTCTCTCTTTCTCTACTCTGGCTTAACACCAACCAGTACTGTTCATGGTCCACCACCTCCTCTACTGAAAATATGATGCTTCACTTCCGTATCTTTTTTACCTTTAGGAGCTCTTCTATTTTTGCTTCTCTCTCTCTCTTGTGGAAGTTCAAAAAAAAAAGACGGACACATGTGAAAGATGTCAGGGGAAGCAGAGGAATGGCCTTGTCTGTTGGTATCTTTCCAAAAGAAGCAGAAAAGAAAGTAGAAAATAAAGGAAAAATCTTGGGTGTACAGTAACTCTATACAAAATCATGAAAGTTTTCATAAATTTATATAAATGATTTTATGAAAGTACGTAAATTTAATTTAAATTTGTACAATCATATAAATTTTTATGAGCTTATATAAATTTGTATTCAATTCACTTACGTAAATTTGTAAAACTTTAGGTAATTTTATGTAGGATTACATGTAGTGTGCATTGCATATTAAAGCATTTTGTAAAAAAGAACAGAAAAAGAAAAAGGCTAAAACGGAGAGGGGCTATGGTATGAGAAAGGACCCATCTGATCTGAAGATGATGTAAGGGGAAAAGATTTGGATAACAGACCCAAACTGAATTTGAGGTTTACAACTTTGTCATTTTCAGTTGGAGACATTATTATATATATTATTTTTATGTATGGTGAGCTCATTAGATGTTGCCCTCTTGGGTGGTGGTGTGGACTCAATTCATTCACACGGGCTTCACTTGTATGTATGACTATGTACCCATTCTCTCTCCTGCTTTGTTCTGTTCTATATTAAAATCATCTGTTTTTCACATAACGAGTATTTCTAGAATAGATGACTCTAATTGAAGAGATGGTTTGAGAGAGAAGATAAGAAAGATGAGGGCGGAGGATGAGATTAATCAATCTATCTATCTATCTGCTTTGGAGTAATGTGAATGATGCAATTGACATGAGAGAGAGAGAGAGCTTTTTCATGTCACAATAAATGAGTCACACGCAATTTTTCATGCTATATTATATTCAATCCAATCTGATAATGCAATAGACCCTGAATATAATAAATCCGATATGTAATAGCATCGGTGGTGTGAATAACATCTGATTATCATCCCCATAGAAGGGGAGAGCCAAAATCGCTGTGACTTTGCTCTAATTTTGTTGGCTTCCTTCTTTTCTTTCGGTAAGACGCCATCTTTTAAGAACAGTATGATGGGATCCATGTAAAATTATTCTTATAGTTGTTCTTCTTGATTCATATAAAATTATTTACAATCTTAATTCAAACAAGTCAGAGAGAGTCATGTTAGTTCTTATACACACTTTTATTATTATTTTTAAAAAAGAATTTTAAAAAAAAATAAGATGGTTCATGTCAAATGTCAGAGTGGATATCAGAAAGAGCATATCGGATTCTAGCCAATTCTTCATAATCAGATTAATTCAGATTTGGCAAATTTCATAGTTGGACTGAATTTGGATATGTACAGATCCAATTGGAATTCAGTCAGTTGATAGACTCAATCCTGAACATTTTTATTTTTATTTGTTAAAACTGGGTGTTCATTACCACTAAATGCAAACAAAATGCAATTGGTCTCCCTACCAGCCGTAGTCTGTGTAAAGAAGTTTAGAGCATATCGGATTCTAGCCAATTCTTCATAATCAGATTAATTCAGATTTGGCAAATTTCATAGTTGGACTGAATTTGGATATGTACAGATCCAATTGGAATTCAGTCAGTTGATAGACTCAATCCTGAACATTTTTATTTTTATTTGTTAAAACTGGGTGTTCATTACCACTAAATGCAAACAAAATGCAATTGGTCTTACTGGCTTTTATTGTTGTAATTTT